CTAAGTCTTTGTGTTTGTATCTCAATAGGTAAATACTATTTAGTTGACGCGGGTTATCCACAATTAAAAGGATTTCTTGGACCTTATAGAGGAGAACGATACCATTTAGAACAATTTCGAATGGGTCGTCGACCAACTGGCTATAAAGAGGTATTTAACCAAGCACATTCTTCTCTTCGAAGTATCATTGAACGCACATTTGGTGTCTGGAAGAAAAAGTGGAAAATTTTGAAAGACATGCCAAATTATGCGTTTGCAAAGCAAGTGAAAATAGTTATTGCTACAATGGCGCTCCATAACTACATTAGGAAGCATCGTAAGCGTGATCTACATTTTCAAAGGGTCGAGGATAATCTAGATGATTTCGTTTATGAAGAGAATCAACCAGATGACAATAATGTAGAAGAGAATGAAGCTTTACTATCACTGGAAATGGATGAAGTACGTGATCAAATTGCAGTAAGCTTAATGAATACGACTTAAATCTTTTCATTTGAGTTAAGTTTGTAGGTATATACGTGTGTATTTGTAGGACTTAAGTTTGTATTTGTAGGTATATACGTGGGGTGTGTGTATGGATATATATTTGCATTTACGTGTGTGTGGATATATATGTTTGTATTTAAGTGTGTGTGTGTGTGTGTGAGGGATTGTATTTTGTATTTGGTTCTTTGTATTTCTATAACATGTACCCTCTACTTTGTTAGCATTATCAACAGAAGATCGTTTTGTTTCAGTATCGGGTTTTGTTACTCCTGTTACTGTAAAGTTTGTAGGTATATACTTTATGTTCTGTTATTCAGCAAACAAGGTGATATAAGGAGAAGATGTATCTGGGAATGGCCAGAGTTAATCAACAATGGCGTTTTAAAAAAATTAGCAAAGGTAACTTTCCTGTTTCTTATAAAATATATATGAACAAAGGTATTACATGTGAACAAAGGTATCCAACTTTCAGGGATCAAAGTTGCAAGAAAACTCTGCTACTTACTAAAATCATTGTGCCTGACGATGCCATATTCTGACCATAACCAGTTTTATCAAACAATAAGGATAACAAAAAAGTACATGGACAAACTTTTAAGATAAAAGGTGCAAATAGGGCCTCATAGCCGTGAGCATGTGAGCAAATTCTGCCATCAGAAGTAAACTCCTAAAGTTCAAATTAATCAAAACTTACATGATACATTTAACTAAGCAATCCAATGAAACAAGTGTTATCATTTGAGTAAAATTTGCAATCTTCAAAGTTTTTCCTCTAAAGAAATTGATTCATCATCTCATACAAGTACGTGTATAAAAAATTTTGAGGGAGGGGGAAATAACCAAGGAAAGGAAACACTAAGAATTCCGATGTAATAATTAGACTAAAAAAAAAGAGAATTAATTATCATAAATTTATTGTTAAAAAATTTAAAATCATAACATTATGTGCTTTTAAAGTTAAACAAGTATTTTTAAATATCCAAAACAATTATATATATTTAAATTTCATATCATGTCTATTTTGGTCATTTTACATACCCACAGCAATTCCACCTCAAAATTTACCAAACGCTATTTACTGATTTTAGAACTAGCACAGCTACTATAATTACAATTTACCAAACACTCAGCCGCTTCTTGAAACAGCTGCTTTTTTTTTTCAGCACAGCTAAAAGCATTTTTTTTAAAATCTACATCATTACCAAACTAAGCCTTCCTGTTAACATCCCTATACGACATGTCGTTTTCTCAACACTAAGTAGCAATGTTTTAATATTTGTTGATTTGTTCTAAGAATTCAGACTCACTTTTATGACCTGATCATTAAACTATGTTTTAACTTGGCAAGAACTTTTTTTAATGTTCCCAAAAGTAGGTGGACAGAGTAATTAGTGACTTTATAAATATGTTTATTACAAGGATTAAAAAGCATGTAAATGCTTTCCTATGAATATTGTATTCTCCTACTTTATTTTAATGATGCTGTACATAAAAAGCGCACAAAAAATTTTACAACATCAAATAAGGGAGAAACAAAATTTTGAGAAGTGGCAACATGCCTCTACAGTCTACACCACCATTACTCTCTCTCTCTCTCTCTCTCTCTCTCTCTCTCACCTTGTAATGTACTGAATCTCTGCATTCTCTCTCAACCATTCAAGCACTTTTGCTCCCTCTAGAATCTCTTGGACCTGTCAAATTTATGCACTTTTGTCAGTAAACCTTATCTATCAGGAGCGAAGCTACACATCACATGGACAAGAGTAGGCGCCCGCCCCACATTTTTTTTTTTCCTTTTAATTTTGTATGTATATTTTGTTGAAATCAGTAGTTTGACCGCTCAAAATATGAAATTATGGACGCGTTTAGAATTCGTTTTAAAATGATTTTATTTTTTGTATGAAAATAAAAATGAAAATATTTTCAATTTCAGACAGAAATCATTTTTGAAAATGCGTTTAGTGGTTTTATCAAGAGATTATTTTCAGTATAAAAAAACCGATTAATGTCTCTCTTTCTCTTTCTCTCTCTACTCGAGAGAGAGAGAAGAGAAAATAAAAATAAAAAATGAAAAACGACTAAAAGTCGTTTTTAATTTCTCTCTCATTTTACACTAAACCTTTTCATTTTCGTTTTCGTCTTTATTGCGCCAAACGCCGTTTTAAAAACATTTTCATTTTTTCTTTCTCGGAAAACGTGAAAAATAAAAACGGGATCAATTCCAAACACGACCTATATGTCCCCCACTCTCACTTATTTTTCTGGCTCCGCCCCTGTATATCTCTGCTATTCAGAGAATTCTCTTGAGATGTTTTCTAGTTGGTAAAAGGAACTAAAAGAATGAATAAATTTGAAAGAGCAAGATCCCTCTTTTTGGAAAGGATAACACATACTAACCTGCTCCCTTATGCGATCCTCGTCGTATTCTTGTTTTTGGCGCTTGAACTCGGCAATGGAATTCTCAACCTCTTTGACAAGCTCATCGGATGAAAACTGCAGAACAAAGTAATTGCAAATGTTTAATCAATAGATGACCCCCAGTAAGCAGATTAACTGGGGCAGACGGATTATGAAAGCATCAAAGGGTGATTTAGGCGTCGCAAAAGATTACCTGCAAATTCTCGCGCTTAAATATATCCCCAACAGCTAGATTCTGCTTTATCAATCTTGTTATGTTCTCCATCTGGTGTTCAAGGTACTCGTTCACTGCCTTTTGACTTGACAGAGACGATAATTGCTCATCGTTTAGTTTCACATTTGCCTGTACAACCAGAAATTAAATGTCTGCACGCACCGAAACATATTCACACACGGGAGAGAGATGAAATAGGTAAGGAAAAAAAAAATACTGACCTGTATCTCTAAAAGCTTTGCTCCATATAGCTGTCTTCCTTGTTCTTCAAACAAGGATTGCGGAATATTAACCTCCACCATCTGAAATTACAGAAATAGATTAGACTGATGAAAGACTTAAATCTTCTTTAAAGAGAGAAAACTTGATAACCCAAAGAGGCCATTGTCATGAATCATACACATATAAGATAGATCCAATTCCAATCATGATATTTAACTTAGAGTAAGACCTTGCAGAGCTGGTCAAGAATGGCATTATCCGTTGCTTGATCTTTCGCAGTTTGCTCCACTTCTAGGCACCTTTGAAGCAATAATTCCTTGACCTGAAAATTCATAACAAAGCATATTTCATTCAAGACTCGAATGAAGGAGAAGAAAGCAGAAGTTAATTGAGATATCGATCAAGTGTGCAGTTACTTGTTCAAGGGTGGTGCATCCAGGAAGAATCTTATCAGCAAGGGCGTCGTCCAACTCGGGCAAATCTCTGTAAAACAATTCTTTGCATTCAACCTAAAGGAGAAGCAAGCCAGACAGTTAAAGAACTGTAAACTTGATTTGTAAAGCGGCCATAGCTTGCGACATATATGTATCTATTCCTTCTATATTTTTGCTTATTGCTCGGACTTATAATATGCTTTCTCTCGGTTAAACACATTTTTCAGAAAAGTCGAGAAGGACTTACAGTGAATTGCGCACGCACTCCTCGTAGATTCTCTTGTCTCCATGATTCAGGAAAGACAAGTGGAAAGGACTTGGTTTCTCCTGCACTAATTCCATGTATTGCATCAAGGAAACCAGGCAGTACTTTATCACCATCTTCCGTATCAAAGTTAAAACCTGCAAAGAGCCATCAGACTTGAGAATGATTTTTTCTTTAATTTTTTTGAAAGATATGGCCCCACTTAAGGTTAACTAAATTCAGAATCTTGAGTGCATTTGACAGACCTTTACTTTCAGCAGATGGAATTTTTTCAACATTAGATTCGTCTTCATCTATTGTTGTTGCAGATATGTCGAGGACCGCCAAATCACCAATCTATAAAAGCTGCAACTTGTTTATAATCATGAAGGACACAAGAATTTCTATGCAAGCAGGTCGGTTTAACTTTTGCGGGTATTTGTTAGTACTTACTTTCACTTTGACTTAACTATGCCATAACCTTTTAATTGGAAGTTATTGTTACACTGAGAAGAAGCAAATTGAAATTGTACTATAACTTTCATTTACCTGTAGTCCTCTGCCAGTTACAACCCGCAATGTCCCTAGGGACTTATGTCGACGTCTCACTTCTTGCTCGGAAGCTTTATGAGCATTTATGTCACTGTCTATCTCAACAACAATCTTCAAGTTCTTGTACCCATCCTCGGGAATCCACTTGACCTCGGGTGCCACATCAACGATGATATCGTATCTGGACCAAAAAAATACACGCCAACTTACCAGTTAGAAATGAAAATTGTGAAATATTTATGAAATGCAGGAGCAGCAACATGAAGGAATGTGAAAAATGGAAGTAATTTAAAGGATGTTGTATGTTACAAACTTGAGAGAATTGAGAGTAGCATAGCTCTGTTCCATGTCAGAAAATTTGGTCAAAATGCGGATTGAGTCCCTCAAAGCCCTATCCGTCACCTACAAAAATAAGAAAAGTTTCTAGAGACGGATGACAACCATAAAAAAAGAAACTGAAAAATAGTACAGATAGGCGATAACATCACCAATCCACTATTGAACGCTGAATCTGCTTTAATAAGAAGTAAGGACTTTTAGCAAAACTCCAATCTCATCAGGCAAATTAAATCGCTAGGACTTCTAACTTTCCAAGGATGCTCGGGCCTACTTTGCTTGATTTTTTATGGGAAAAAAATGGTTAATCCTGTGCATGATTTTTCCTGTTTTGGGGTGGTGGTGAAGCAAAACTTGTACTACCATGTTTCAGCATTTCAATTCTGAACTCTTAATAGATCAAAAAGGAACTTTAAGGGAGTTGTACCAAAACAATTCTGCAGTCACCAGAATCAATTCAAGAAACAATTAATTGACTAGTATTGGTCACATATCCATGTAGCTGAAAATATTCAAACAAAATGTTACTTCTTTTTTATTTTATTTATTTTATTTTTTGCTGTAGAAACAAAATTTTAAAATGTATATAACAAAAGATGCAATAACAGATGGCACTCGGAAAATATCTTTAAAAAAAAGCCCTAAACAATTTTCCATTTACAAGTTGGACAACCTTGGCATGTACAATCCAATCAATAACATAAGTCAAATAACGAACGGCAATTAGGATCCCAAATAACAAAATTAAAAAGTTCATGGTCCAACATGCCAACCAACAAAAAGTTTCGGATGTCTTTTGTTGTAGGGCATTCCATCCATTAATTGATGCCATTGGCTATTGGGTTACAATTGCAGCGAAATTTTTAAATTTAGGAAACGATTTAAAAATTAAAAGTCCAGGATCGAAGTTGCGAAACACCGATAAATTCATATCACACAGCACACGGAAACAAAACAAAAGAGTAACCCCAATGCTGATAAGTTCTTACAGAAGACATGGCATGAGGAAGGGTCCTCTTCAAGATAGACTCAACCGTAGCCTTCTGAACATGTTCCTTCCCAACGTAACTTAGCAGAATACTTTCTGGAACTCTCTTCCCCGGGCGAAATCCCGGAATCTGTATGCCACAAAACCAATGCCAAACACAGATTTAATTAGTTGATAGTATTCAGAACATCATTAATCCGTTAATGGTGTCACAGGTTTCACATAGTATAAAAAGTTGCAATTTTTTTTTTTTTTTTGTAACTCACCCTTGATTGCTTCATGAACTCGTTTAGAACTCTATTGTAACAATCATCACAGACGGCAGGTGGAACTTCTACGCTCAATTTAAGCTGCAAAGATGTATACACAATATATATACATATATATATATATATGAGATTTTTCAGTGATAACAAAGACATGAAAAGGCTAACACGTGAACTTCAGAACACAAGAAAGGGAAAAAAAAATGAATCGAGCATAATAGAGCAAATGTCCCAGCTTCCCAAAAAAAAAAAATAAATAAATAAATAAAATAAAAATAAAACTTTCAAATTGAGCTAAAACCCATAACCTCTAATGAAGACCCAGTTGAGAAAAACAATTAAAAGTTGCGAGAACATAAAAAATTAAACAAAAATGAGAAATAAAACCAATTTTTGATTGGAAAGAAAAACTCACTCTATAATTGGGCTCTTCAGTCTCCGTAACTTCTATACTAGCCGGAAGCTTATCTTTCTTTTCTCCGGTAGCCACCGGAGACGAAGAAGAAGAAGAAGCCGAAGCGACAAAAGGACAACAATTTCCATGAAGGAAGTGCCTCTGACGAGGAAGAAAAGACAATCTTGAACAACTGGAGCTTCCATTCTTGAATCGGAGAAAAGGGTCCGATATAGAAATGGAGTTTTTGCGAAAAATGGAGCGGTTGAGGAGGAGGGCCTTGGCGGAGCTACTGGTTCCGATACAGAGCTCCATTGTTGATATTTGTTGGTGAACTCTTTTATTTCTTTTTTTTTTCTTGTCGCAGAAAGCGAGAAGATAAACTGTTGCTCTATTAGGATATGGCGAAAATGGTTGTCCTACGTGGCGACCATTCAGACAAATATACTTTTGAAAAATTATATATTGACACTTTTAGGCGTTTGATATACAATAATCTTGATGGGAATAGAAATTTACAATATTATCATATTTGATACAATAATTATAATATTTAGATTCTCAGAAAAGTAATTATTATGGGATTTATTTTTTCTCATTTTAAAGTAATTTAAATACCACTCAATATGGTGTTATTCAAATTCTCAAAAATTTTAAAATCACGAGAATCTTATTATAATAATAATTATTATTATAATTATAATAATAATTATTATTATTATATTTATTAATATTAATATTAATATTATTAATATTATTATATTTATTAATATTAATTTTAATATTATTATTATAATTATATTTATTAATATTAATATTAATATTATATTTATTAATATTAATATTATATTTATTATATTTATTAATATTACTATTATTATTATGGATCTTCTTCCCTGTGAACAACCAAACACAATAATGTAATATTCCTGAGAATTTGAAAAAGATTCATGTATGGAACTAAACACAGTAATGTATTATTCCTAAAAATCATATTACCCTCCATCACTTTTATGTGAATATGATTTCTACTGATTCCTGCATACCAAACGCCCCCTTTGAGTTTTTTTGGAATAATACAAAGGTATTTACACCCTAACGTTTCAAAAGTGAAGAAAATTACGAGTGCATTTGATACTTATTTTAAAATAATTTTATTTTTTATATAAAAATAGAAATAAAAATATTTTTAATTTTAGATAGAAATTATTTTTAAAAATACGTTTGATAGTTTTATTAAGAGATTTTTTTCAGTATGAAAAAACTTATTAATATTTCTCTCTGCTCGAGAGAGGAAAAAATGAAAAATGACTAAAAGTCGTTTTTCATTTCTCTCCCTTCCACTAAACTAAAAAATCGTTTTCATTTCTATTTTTTATTTTTAATTATGTCAAACGCTGTTTTAGAATTATTTTCATTCTTTTTCTTGAAAAACGTAAAAAATAAAAATAAGAACAATTCTAAACATACATACAAGTTCCTTATTTTACACTATTGACCTCGATGCTCGTTTGATTTAAGAATATTTGTTTAACTTAAGAAAAATAGGATGAGAATTGTAAGTGTAGAAAGATTCGTTGATGGATTTTGCAAATAAAAAAAAAAATGTTGACAGTTGAATTTTACAATTGAGTTAGTTCTAAATTCAGCACGATAATTATTAATTATTTTGTTTGATTCCTTATAATTTAACACGTCGCACATTTGAGTTTAACAAATGGTGCGCTTAGAGTACATCAATGTTAGGATCGTTCAAAAAATGACGAAATATAACACGTGTGGCTCACATGATATTTTAAGAATCACAATTGAACCTAATTACTTCTTGCTTTATTGCGTATATGCATTTTTAAAAATACATTACATATTTCAAGCATCTAAAAACGATTTTTTTGTCTTTTCATACTGATTAATAAGATTAAAGTATCGCCTAAAAAAAATAAAAGCCAAAGGTAGATATTTGTAAATATTTTTGAAAAAGAATTATCGTTATAAATTTAAGAGGTTTTCTAGTGCGAGCTAAAAAAAAATGAATTATTAATAATTTTTTATTTTTAATCATCAAATTTATATAAAAATTATATATTCTACATGTTTTTTTAATTTAATATTATTTTAATTAAATATAATAATCAAAAACTGATACTATTACTAATATGGCTGTTAGAAAAAGTCTCCTATAATTTTAACAAACACGAAGGTCATCCCTAAAAATAAAAAATTAATTAATTAATTAAGAAAAACGCAGGGTTCTGGTGTGTCTACTTTTTTTGACACAAAGGCGCGCCTCAAACGGTGAGTTCTTGACTCTTGTCAAGCAGACAGACAAGCAACTGAAAACTGATTCGTCGCAACGGCGTCGTTTATCTGTCCCCCCACCTTTTTGTCTCTCCTCTCTCTCCCCCTCTCTCTCTCTCTCTAACCTCGTACGAAAAAATCAGAAACATGAATAAATAGTCGTCAGTGACTTAGAACACAAACTCATTTTTTCCCCTTTAACAACAATTGAGAGATAGAAAGTCCTTAAACAACCCAAAAAAAAAAAATCCGAAATTTTGGGAGCGAAAAAAAAAGAAAAGATTATTAGTAGCTCAATCGGCGGCGGGAAATGGAGGGAGTTGGGTCGCGATTGGGCCGAGCGTCGGCGCGGTACGGCCCAGCAGCGACGGTGTTCAACGGCCCAGTCAGGAAGTGGAAGAAGAAGTGGGTCCACGTGTCCTCATCCTCCACCGTCAGTTACCAGTCCCAAGCCAACGGCCACAACAACAACAGCAACAACGACAACCCCCGCCTCCTCCTCTGCCGCTGGACGCCTCTTCCTCCGACCACCGCCGCCGGCGACTCCGCCGGCGCCGTGGATGAAGCCGGCGGCGCGCCGCCGGATGAGCCGCCGCGAAGGAAGTTCCGTTATACTCCTGTGAGTATATATAGATTTTGTCCGTATATGCATATGCTTTTTTAGGGTTTATTATGATTAATCGTTTAAAGCTGAAATTTTTTTTCTTTTTTTTTTCTTGGGTTTTGGATTATGCACATGCATGTGAATTTGGAAATGTTTTTGTTTTTGTTTTAGTTTCTTACTAGTAGACAAAAAAAAAAAAAAAAAAAAAAAAAAAAAAAAATTTTTAAAAAAAAAAAAAACCTAAAAAAAAAAAAAAAAAAAAAAAAACGTTTTAGATAGAATAAAAACCTGTAAAATCTTGCTTTAGAAAGAAAATATTATCTTGTTTTTTTAATTATGAATTAGATTTTATTATGATACTCTCCTGCTAAATCCTGTAGTGCATGCTTAATGGAGAACCTCATTTACGTGATTTTTATGATTTTTTTTTTGTTAATACATGTGATTTTTGTGATTAAAATAGTGATTTTCAGCCCAAAAAGAAGTACACAACTTTTTTTTAGTTTTTTTTAGTTTTTTTTTTTTTTTTCTCTATAACATGAAACGAAAGAGTTGAGAAAGGAGATATTGACTTTTTTGTTTTATTTTTATTTTTCGACGGATTTAGCATCATCATCATCTTCATTACTATTAGTATTATTATTGGTGAACGGAGAAATTAAGTTATATTATTAATATGTTAAAAGTGAAAATTTTTAGTAAATTTTGATGTCGTTTATTCAAATTGATTATTTCAGATTGCTGTGATAGAAGATCAACAGAAGAAGATGGGTGCGAAAAAGGTGGAAGAAGAAGCCAAAATATGTGAGACACAAACACACCAAGCTCCAGAAACTTCTCCTATGGCAATGCCACCAACTCCGAGCGATGAGGACCATGGGAAGCCGAACGCCTCTGATGATCTGAAGGATGAAGCCGAGGTAACATTCTTTGACTCTTACGCATGTGTACAATAAACCCAGTAAACAATAAAAAAGTAGTTCATAATGATCGGAATTAAGTCCGGTCAAAAAGGATTGAGGATTCATCTTAGGCAACAAAAAAGCGAAGAATGCTTTCAATATCACAAGCATCCATTTTGACTCACAGTGATCTTGGAACATTTTGTTGTGTCAAATGTCAATCAATGATGAGAAATCTTATAGCCAACTAGAAAATGAGAAACCGAGAACCGGGATGGTTTCGCATAGCACTTAGAGTGTAGTGTACTAACCTCCTCCCAAAAGAAATGAATAGGTCAACACTTGCATAAACCGTTCGCCTGGATAAAAAGGCCTATATTCCACATTGTGGGGCTATTCCTGTTATGACATAGCTTATTTTCTTGTGTGGTAAGGTAACAAGTTCCTAGTTCTTCTGACACAGCTAAAATGAAATCACCCCTAGAGTCTTGTACCTGACTTGTCTCGTGTCGATTTCAGATCATTGTATACATTTCTCCCTTGCAGTACATTATTTTGAACATATGTAGTGAAGATAATGACTAAGGTCCCAATTTCTCGGCCAAACTTTTGTACCAAGTGATGACAAATGAGTTGTTAATTCGATCACCGGTCGAATAATTCAACTCATTTACCGTCACTTGGTACAAAAAATTTGATAGATAGTCTAAGATGCCCAGTATTGTCCATACAATAAGGATGCAAATCAAAGATTTGGGGAACTGTCTTGACAAGAGAAGTTTCGTCAAGCAATGTGAAAGCAGAGAGAATCGCGTTTTATATATGGAAGTGAGTAAGTGGAATAAAGTTTTGTTGACAGGATTCGAACATGAGCAATCTGGATCTAGGGTTGGGCTTCAAAGGCGCCGACGAGAACCTCGATACCATTAGCGATATGGAGGAGACTCAGGCGAAGACAGAAAGCTCAAGCGGGTTTTGGTCAATGGTGAGACCTAAAGCATCTCCTTAGACCGAAGCCGAAGCCCCATGAAATGGTAGTCACATATAGTTGTTGGGATTGATCTGTGTTATGTCAACTGCTAAATGCTCGTTGTAAATCTGAAGTACGATAAACCGTTATCCTCATCTTGTGATTAAGTTGTAGGATTAGTGTCTCTCTCTCTAGTTCTCTTTTTTTTCTTTTTTTTTTTTTTTAATGAAGGCAGTGGTATTAGCGTTTGTAGGTGGCTGTTGTACATAAATAGGCACATAATACCTATGACTTTAACTGTTGTTTGTTCACTCTCGAATGATGGCGCGACCAACCCAAATTGCATATCACAGACGGCAAAAAAGAAACAGAATCATCACTACAGTTTCAGTACCTCCAATCATATCCCCCGTTTGCATTGTTGGTTCAAGTTAAAAGTTTTCAACTTGAGTTGATATCAAGTTAAAAATTTTCAACTTGAGTTAGAAAACTGAGGATGAATTTGAATTTTTATGAGAGAAAACACTGTAGTAAAAACTTGAGTCAATAAAATGAGACTAATTCTAGCTCAAAATATTCAAGAACAACTACCAAACCAAAGGTTGGAACTTCGGCTTTGCAAAAATCCACTCTAGGGCCAAAACTACGGTACAACCAACCATATTTTTGGGTCATATCTTGAGTAACCAACCTTTTGTTTGGGTCATATCTTGAATAATTTTTTTGATTGGATGATAGAAAAATCAATCTATATTCCATAATTGTTGTAGTTCTAGCTCCTCTAAACATTTTAGAACAAATTATCAAACTAAAGGTTGAAACTTTGGATGCGTTTGGAATTGATTTTTACTTGTTTTGAAAACATTTTTACACGTCTTTTAAAATATGAAAATGAAAACAATTTGTAAACCGTGTTGTTTAACAAATGATTGAAAACGAAAATGAAAATAAAAAATAGCAATAACGATTTTTATGAAGAAATTAAAAAACAATTGAAATTTATTTTTCCTTTTTTATTTTCATTTTCTAATATTTATCAATAATGTTATAATATATTAATTGAAAATTATAACTCAATACAATTTTAATTTTTTATTATACTCAAAATAATCTCTTAAAAACCCACCAAACACAATTTCAAAATCGATCTTAAAATGATTCTCAAAATAATCTCATTTTTACTTTTACATTAAAAATAAAATCATTTTGAAAATATTACCCAACGTGCCCTTTGGCTTTTACAAAATTCCACTCAAGTTTAGGGCCAGAACTACGCTACAACCAACCTTTTTTTGGTCATATCTGTGAGTAATTTTAACAAGAACCGAATATGAACAGAGCAATTTGAACAGAAAAAAAAAAAAGAATTATATTGATGAAATAATAGAAAGATTACAAAGTAAATCCTAACAATGGTGGTATTAGAGAGCACGAATTCTCCCAAGTTTTCCCAAATTTTCTAACTAATCAGACATTACCTCTCTAACCACTAATCCCTCCCTTTTATACTTCTCATTCTCTTCTAACCACTACTAGCAGTTAAGACTAACAAAACCAACACCTAAAGCCGTCTAACAATATTCCTACCCGATCACACTCTCATTAACTAACCAAACCAACTTCCAAGAGCCTATCAAATTTTAGATTGGATGATAGAAAAATCGATCTGTATCGTTCATCGTTCAAATTCAAACCGCCTTTGTTCGGCAAACTCCGAACCACCAAAAAATTTCAAACTGTCCAGGTCTTTTGTACCATCTGCGCTCGTTTAACACTCATAGCCATGCCCTCCACCTTATACTCGTAAAGGAAATCAAAAGATAACCCACCATAGGGCAATCTTTCTACGACAAAACAATAAATAACAGAAGCAGATATTATTGAAGGGCAAGGAAAAAAAAATAATTGTTCTATATTTTGTGATGGAGAAAACCATCATAGCTTATCTAAGTAGAAAAATAATTATACTTGATACATCTCTCAGACGCATGCAAAATTTCCTGTTCGATATCCGGAAGCCAAGTTCACTCACTCTCTTCAAACTTGAGAGCCTTCCTCAGCAGCTGTATCTTTGTTACAGTTATTCCTTATCAGCTGCATCATTCGCCACCTCTCGAGTTACGCCAACTTCAGCTGGCCGAATAACTCTATCATAAAGCACGTATCCCGGCTGCAATACAAAAAATATGCAACATGGTTGTCGTTTATCTATCTGACTACAATTCAAATATAAATATTGAAGCCCTTCTAAGAATTCTTTGATAGGGTATGGAAAGTACGCTATTAGTATAACACCATTTTGGATAATCAAGATCTATATCAAGTCCGTCAATTTTATATCACTTATTATTATTATTATTATTATTATTTGATGTTATTTTGATCAGATCTAATCTAATCTAATATTCGTAAACATGCGTTTACACTGGAGATATCCTGCAGGCTGCCATAGAAAGCAGAGGGACCTAGAGTAAAAAAAAGAAAGGAGAGCGATACCTTCAGAACAATAGCTACAGTCCCAGGAGGCTTGGAAGCATCCGGCAGTTCGAATGCTGCATTATGCCTGTGTGGATCAAATGGCTCATTTGTAGGGTCATATTTTTCCATTCCATACTTTTTAAACACCTGTATCCAAAAGGAAATTAGTCTCAATAAAGCACGTTATTCCCAGCAGCATGCACATCTTAAAAATTTTTTTTTAAGAAAAAAATTGCATAATGGGCTTGATTAATGCAAACTGTCCGCACACACTGAGTACACATACTTAATCAACGGAGAGGAAAGATCAAAGTTATCAAAGATTGTTCTATCCTTCTCATTACATGACGTCAATTTAAACACGAATAAAATGTTCACATACACCCAATTCTATATTGAACCTTAAGATTAAAAGAATGAGATTTTATTGTTCAGTATAAAATAATATCCTGCCAATAGAGCTTTGTTCTAAACCGTGTTCTATTAGTTTTGTATACTTTTTTCATTTTGACGTGATTTTTTATCAAATTTAACATTCAAAAACATGCACTATGGTAGGACATACTCTACGTAAAAGCTCCTAAAAAGAAAAAGATTTGTATGATTGATAGGTGATTAATGGTAAAGAGAAAGCCTTATACCTTTGAAAGTTGTTTCTCTGTCATTTCAACACCTTCTAGAAGTGATTTAAGAAGCGGTGTAGCTTCAGATGAATCCTTCGACTTATCAATCTTTGCAAAACTCTCTTTGACAACCGAAGAAGCTCTTTCCAAGTTGTCTGCAACATCAAGTAAACTCTTTGCAAAACTCTGCCAACAAAACTTCCAAGCAACCCATCAGCTTACGACTTCAAAAAAGTTCACCAAACTAATACATAGAAAGAAAACAACAACAAATACGAGGGCAAAAATGAACGTCGACACGAAACCTGAATAGCAAATTTCTTTGAATTCTCTGCTTCACGACGCGTCCTGTCCATGACATTCTCCATTTCCGCATAGCTCCTGAGGACCTTATCTTGCATCTTCTCAATCTCCTTGTGCTTCAACTTCAGAAGCTCTTCCTTCTCGGCCACAAGCTTCACCAGATCATCCATAGTCAGGTTATCCTCGTCGGAATCTAAATCAGAAAACGCAGTTCGTTTAGTACCTCTTCTCCGTCTCTTAACAGTTTGAGACATGGTAGACTGAGATTCAAACATAGAACCTGATTCTTTTGCCTGATCAGCTACTTCACTCTCAGTTTGATCAGAGACTTTGGCGTCTCTCTCGGTTTTCACAGACTCACCATTGTTCTCTGCATTTGTCCCATTTTCCTTCTCAGCCTCAGGAGATGCAGATGAAGCAAATCCAAATCTTTGAAGATGGGAAGAACTCAAATTGAATAGAGACACCTGACTAGGAACCAACTAAAAAAAGAACACAGAAGAGAAATCAATAAATTTCAAATATTCAGAATGCCATTCTGCATTTCAAAGTGTTAGAACTCTCAACCTCAAGAAAAACAAAAATCAATACAAACAAAATTTCAAAAAAATAATAACAATGAGCAGAATGAATGGACCTTGTGATAACCAGTAAAAACTAAACTCTATTGAAACAAAACTTTAAACTCAATAATTAATAATCTTTTGGAAAATTATCTTGCATTTCAAAGCCTCAAACTTTAAACCTCAAAACGCAGAAAACATAGATACAGAGATTAAAATAAAATAATAATAATAATGATGATGATGGTGGTGGTGATAAAAACCGCCACTTTAGAGAATTTAATAAAAAAGCAGGCGTGCCCAAACACAAATTTCATAACAATTTAAGAAAAAAACCCAGAAACACAATCATGAAACGTGCTTTTAACATCCAAAACAAATGCTTTAAGAGGCGCAAAAGTTGAAATTTCCAAGTGAAAATGGGAATTAACATAAGAAAAACACATTTAGTAACCAAGATAATCGGAATTGAATATTAACTGCATACCGTGATCGATAATTCTACAGAAACCTAAAACCCTAGCAAAACCCTGACGAGAAAAGATTAGAAATTTAAGGATTTTTTAGGTACCTTGTTTGGAGATTCGTTGATGATAGAGTGAAACTGATTGGAAAAGCTCGGAAAGTGGTGAGTTTGTGGGGAAGAGAGGAGCAGAGAACTCCTGGGGATGGTTCTGGAGACGCGAGCTAAAACCCTAGATACGAACATCGCTGAATAATTTGAGGAAAAGAAATGGGAAAATCTGATTGGGATTTGATTATTGAACGAAAGTTAGGGTTTTTGGGAGAGAAATCGATGGGAAAGTGAGGAAAAATAGGGGGAATGAGAGAGAAAGTTCTGCTTGGGGAGGAAGAAAATCAGAACAAAAGGGGCAAGGAAAGTTGGGAACTTGGGTTATGGGGGTTTCGGCCGTGATATTTTTTAGTTGACGAAAATACCCTTTCTTATCAAGGTTTTGAAGCTTCTGGTTGAGGAGCTAACCTTGTCGTTTTTGCGCTAATGAGAGCTTTTCTTTGCGTGGCAAAGTAGACAATTAGTAGATTGCATAAGGGTATTATCGTCAACTTTGGTTCTAGGAGTCGAAGTTTCTGTTTTTTGGTTTTGGAAGCCTCCAGAACCTTTGTTTGGGCACACTGGAGCTCTGGAACAAGCAGTTTTCAGGGAAGCACCGCCAAAACGACACCGTTTAGGAAGGAAGCACAATGCATTGAAATCCATGCGGGCTTAAAAATTTGCCACACAAGGAACTTCAATGGTTTGGATTTCCCATTTTAACCACCGGGACGAATTGTGTTGTTTAACTATAGGATTAAGATTTTAAGGGTTTGATTTGTAAGTATCTATATTAAAAATTTATAATGCGTGACAAGGTTATAATCATAAATAGAGCATTAAAAACTTATTTCAACAATTAAAATAACATCTAATTAAAAGGATATGTCTTATTGTAGACATTCTCCACAATATTAGCACTTTTTTTTTTCCTTATGTAATGAGAATTTTATGTATGGTAAAGGATGTACTCAATTGAGTATTGCACATTCATGAACCGTCAGATAAAATGGAGTTAAAAATGTAAGCAAATTTGAGAAGTTTATTTTCGAGGTTCAGAATTATGCACTATTGGTAGAAAACTTTTCTACAATGCAAAACAATATAAAACTTGTTTGGATCAACAATTCATTTTTAGTAGAAATTGTTGTTAAGTTGTCTAATACTGACACATTTAAGGAAATTAACAAATTAATTAGGCATCTTGCAAATTCTAAGGCAGAAATTTATTATGCACCCTAGTTGAATATTTTCAAATCCCACAAACCAATTTTTTACAATAACCAACACAAACAAATGACTTTCTAAGGAAATGTTGACACCATTACTCCATGTTGGCCTATGTGGTTGTTCATTGCCCTTCTGGGACAGCTTCTTCTTTCTCAGGAAAATAATCATGCCTGAAAATGCAAAGAAAGATGATGAAATATTGAGCCAAATAATAAGCTTAAAGACTTGAATTTTTGAAGTGAAATAAGGCCATTTTCCTTCTGGGGTGTGATGAAATCATGAAACACATTAAGTTGTTTGAATAATGTTTTCTTTCTCAAATTCATTTTGCTCTTTTCAAATTATTCACCAAATTGACTTTGGATTGAAAAAAAAAATCCTTATTATTCCTTAAAATAGCTCTAAATGTGTTTCCTATACTCAAATCATATACTGAAATTGAAGAATATTGTAATTCAGCTTACTTTATTTTTCGCGATAGTTGATACAACCCTGTTACAGACATTGCAAAATTAACACTAGAAAGATTCCAGTTTTTCTGCAATAGAATTTTAGAGAATTAGAATCGCCCGTAGCTAACTTGTGTTAAGCAAGAAGTAAGATAAACACCAAATCTAAGAGTTCTCTTTAGCAAAAGCATAACTTTATAACATTTGAAGCACTAAAAGATCAAAATAGATATTAAATTTGGATAGTTTTTCAAGTGATTTGATGAACAGTAAGCATCATAACTTGAAGGAAAACAACTCTAGAGAGGTCAATATCTATCCATTTCATAAGTGTTTGGAGGATATATAAAGAAACTCGATGTATGAAAAATATGCACAAAAAAAAGAGATCAATTTTTCTTGTAAGTAAAGTGAATGAGGAAACAGAATAGAGGAACAAGCAAGAGGAAAGAATGGTTAAATCATTTAGACAACTGAAGTGTGTAAGACTATTAATAAAACTAACATTTTTTTTTGTAAAGATTCTGATGTGATTAACATACTAAGAAGGATTAAATCATTAGAAAACCAAATTATCTTAATTTTTTTAACATGATATGATTATGATGTGATTTGACAGTTAATAATTATATCTTATCAGTAGAATATTCTTTCATACCCTACCACAGAATCCTCAAAATTTTTATGCATTGAATAAGACCGAGGAGTAATTTTATCATACCGGTGTGATCACCATACCGTAGCGTGACCATATAAGTCCGGAACATGCTACAACTGCATAATAACATACAGCTTGTGACATCAAATCCTTTACTAAAATGAAAAGTATGTTTCTCAATTGAGACAGGTTTCTCTTTCCAAGAGATATTATGCATACCTGTTTGTTGAGGATACGAGAGCACCTCAGGAGGTTTTGAGAAGTCAGCGACGTTTGCTATGCTTATACCCCATTTGAAAGTTGGAGCCCAAAAATGAACTGCAAGCTTCATTTTCTTAGATATTTCTCTTGAACTAAATAAAATTCACAAAATCAAAATGAATCATAATGCAAAACCATCTTACAATAAATACTAGGTACAAGAAAAAGGGGTTATGATTATTCATTTGTGAATCAAATAAAATATGAATAGTCTTAAATCACACTGAAACTATACAGTTAAATCTATCAGAGGTAAACAAGAGTTCATCAAATTCATTGCACCTAGTATTCATTGTAAGACGATTTGTGTTTATGATGTATTTCTATTATGAGAATTTCGTTTAGTTTAAATGCCTAATAATATGAAAAACACACAGAATACCTTTTGAATTATTAAAAACATAGAAAAATAAACGTGGGATTTAGCTAAAACTCAGAGATATATTTTTTTTTTATTTCCACATATATATGGAGTTTATCTAGTAGTATCAGAAAGAAAATGAACTGCAAGTGATTCACTACTTTTTTAGTCTATAGATTTATATAAAAAATTATATGTCATGACTTTTTTAATTTAATATGATTTTAACTAGATCTAATTCTCAATATTACTAGTAAGAAATCCTACCGAAAAAAGTCTCCAATATAAAATACCCAGATGCAAATTTTCAATCTTTTACCCGAGGGACTATAGTGCATGATACAGAAACAGAGAACTTTCACAAGGAAGATAAATAATTGGTCATAAAACCTCAAAGCAAACATATCAATTAGAGAGAAAGTAACAAAAAATTAAGAGGCAAAAAAAAAAAAAAAAATGGAAAAGGGAAGGGAGAACAAACTAGTTTTAGGGCCAGCCGGGTGGCTCCAGAAAGCTTGGAGCTTGTTAACTGCCATGAAAATAAATCTCTGGGCTCTTTCTCTCTGCGAGTAATTGCGTCAACGCAGAAAAGGTGTATATTCCGTGACTGCGAAGTTGTTTTGAGTATATTCTTCCTTATCTATTTACTTATGTGCTTTATTATTATCAATTATTTTTAGAGAAAATATTTTTATTACATAATACGTGAAGAAAGCGACTCGTTTTTGTCTTGAAGTTTTTGCCTGCGTATTTGTCTATGTCTATTGAAGTTTTCTTTTTGTCGCTTCTAAGTCTGGTGTCCTTACAAGTTACAATTGAAAAACTGTCAATAAAAATATAAAATGAAGTTAAGGCGGTAAATCATAAATGTCCCTTACTTTTTTTTTTTTTTTTTTTTTTTTTTGTGAGTGAAGAAAGGAAGGACACATTTGGTAAATTAGGCCCCGTTCATTCACATTTAAAATTCGAGTTTTATTACAGTAAAAAATTTTCAGAAACCGTCACATTTAATTTTTTTTCACAACAGTAAAAAGCGTTCACATAAAGTCGCATGTCAATTCGAATTAAAAATTTAAATCAGCGAATTAAACGAGTCCCAAATTTAAAATGTAGTGGTTTGAATTTTTGTGATTTGAAACGAAAAGTTTAAAAATTGTGGCTTAAACTTGTAGTCATAGACTGAGATAATGGTTAGATATCAATTGAGGTGTTGCTTGAAAAGAGAAAAATGTGAAATTGTGTTTAGATGTGTAATTCTTTTTTTTTTTTTTTGGTGAGAGAAGTTAGGTTAAATGAGGTGTAAATTTGCGTAAAAAAAACATTGTGCATTTTGGTTCAAAATATTGAATACAATGCTTCAAAATGTATCTAAAAAAAGCTGCTAAACACCATTTCAAACTGACTTTTTGGTTCAAAACATACAAATCAGGTTTCCCAACGGCACCTAAATGTCATTCACTCTAATGAAAAATTTTCGATCAACGACACTCTTCATAGCGCATTTCTTAATCCAATGAGTCATGGACAAGCATACTTTTTTGGTCTGTTTTAGAAGAAAGTAGACAAATTTCTAATGAGTCTCAATTTTTCTATTTATTATTGATTAATATCTTTTTAGTTAAATAACTAACTAATCAAAAACAGAAACGAAGCTAACTTAGGCCTAGGGGCCTTAAGCCAAACTAGCTCTTTTAATTTGTTCAGTAAAATTGTTATTTCACCTCATTTTTTCCTTGTTTAGCCTCCCCTAAGATTTTTTATTTTTAAATTTTGTACGGAATGTTATAAAAGTATTCACTTATATCCTTAATTTTGATCTTAATTTATTACTTTACCTCTTTAAATTTTATTTTATAATCTAGATGTTATGCAAGAATTTAAAAGTTTTTCATTTGCACTCTTAATATTTTCTTTTAAGTATAGCTTATATATATATATATATATATATAATACCTTATACTAAGTATATTCTATTACTCAATTAATTCAATCTAAAATTTTAGTTTAACTCAAGCCCCCTGAAAAAACGTTCTTGCTTCGTCAATGATTAAAAGAGCATCAATAAGGAATAAAAATTCAAGTCAGCAAATTTCTCTTTTTTTTATGAAAAAAAAAAAGAAGAAAAACAGAACGAGCCTGAGACTTACCTCTGAAATACGGATTAGCATAAGAAAAACACATCTGGTCAGCTAGATAACCAGAATTCCAACTCTCTAAAAGCGGTATAAGGTGGCATAAAGGTTTATCTGTGAGAACTTTCTGAAAGTTGCTTTTGGCTCCCACAGTCCAAAAGCCAATTTGAAATGTATTGAATGATCTAGAATTGTCCACTATCAGTATGGCTTTTTTATTTTTTATTTTTATTTTTCTACCCTTCTCTGTAATTTTCATGTAATATAAAATAATACCAAATTCCTTCAGATCACAAATTCAGTTGAAGTTCTTGTTGAGTTGTTTTTTTGTTTTTTTTTTTTAAGGGCTTGTTGAGTTATTGTTTCAATACAATTCCCACTCAAGAAAATTGACAAATCAACCAGGCATCTTGCAAATTCAAAGGCAGAACTTTATTATGCACTCCCAGTTGAATATTTTCTAAACCCACAAACCAAATTAGGAAAATAATTACAAAAACCAAAAAAAAAAAGCACATGACTTCAAAAGAAATTTCAATTTCGGCTCTGCATAAACTGATATCCAAATCCAAAAAGAAAAAGAGCTGGCACCATTAACCCATGTTGGCCCGTGTGGTTGTTCATTGCCCTTCCGCGACGGCTTCTTTCTCCGGAAAATAATCGTGCCTGAAAATGCAAAGATAGATGATAAGTACAAGTTCAGCCAAATACTAAAGCTTAAAGATTTTAACTTTGAAGTGTATGAGGCCATATTCCTTCCGGCGTGTGAAACCATGAAACATATCAAGTTGTTTTCTTCCTCAAATGAGCACAAATTGTAAAATCATTTCCCAAAATTTCTTTGGATTGAAAATGGATCCTTCTAATTCCTTGAAATAGCAGGGAATCCGTGTCCAATTCTAGAATCATGTACCGAAACTGAAGCATACTGTATTCCAGCTTACTTTATTTTCCGCGATAGTTGATACAACCCTGTCCCAGCCATTGCCACATTAACACTGAAAAGATTCCAGTTTTTCTGCAGAAAAATTAAGCAAATCAGAATATCACCCGCAACTAAACTTGTGTGAAGCAAGAAGTACAAGAAAACATCAATCAAAGTGCCGTATTTAGCAAAGGCGAGCAGATAGAAAATTGTGTGAAGCAAGAGCCAAGAAGTATGAGAAAACATCAGTCAAAGCACCATCTTTAGCAAAGGCGTTTACATAGAAAACAAAGCAACAAACACCTATCATAGTACCTCCCACAATTTCCAGATCTAGCTTATAGGTCCTTGGTGCAAAAATCACAGAACTCCGAAACATTTCAAACTTTCAAGCACTAAAAGATCAAAATTGATAATAAATTTGGATAGTTTTTCAAGTGATCTATATAGAAGTGAAGCATCAAAACTTGACGCAAAACAACTCTAGAAAGACCAGTAGATATCTCTTTCATAAGTGCTTGGATGAAATTATTGTCGTGTGCAAAATATGCGAGGAAGACCAAAAATATCAAAAACTTTTCTTATAAGTTAACAACTTAAGCGTGTAAGCTTCTGGAGAGAATTAAAGGAAAAAAGTCAGGAGATCCTGATATGATTATCATACTACTAGGATTAAAACATTAAGCAACTGAATTATCCTGCTTATTTTAATACGATGATACTAACATTAGATTTAGGATACTTTTCATACCCTACCACAGAATTCTCCAAAGGTTTAATGCATCGGATAAGACCCTTTAAAGCAAAAAATTTGTCGTACCGGCGTGATCACCATACTGTAGCGCGACCATACGAGTCCAGTACACGTAACAGCTGCATAATAACGTACCAGCTATGATATCAAATTATACCATATTACTCAACAAAAGCAAAGGCAAGTCAGCAACGTTTTGAGAAGCATACCTAATTGTTGAGGATAAGAGAGCTTCTCAGGAGGTTTTGAGAAGTCAGCAACGTTTGCTATGCTTATACCCCATTTGAAAGTTGGAGCCCAAAAATGAACTGCAAGCTTCATTTTATTAGATATTTCTCTTAAACTAAATAAAATTCACAAAATCAAAATGAATCATAATACAAAATCATCTTACAATAAATACTAGGTACAAGAAAAGGGGGTTATGATTATTCATTTGTGAATCAAACAAAATATGAATAGTCTCAAATCACACTGAAATTATACAGTTAAATCTATCAGAGGTAAACAAGAGTTCAACAAATTCGTATCATTTCATCACTAGAGCCCAATTACTGGAGAAATAAGAAATACCCAGATGCAAATTTTCAATCTTTTATACTTGGGAATATAGTCCATGATCCAGCAAAAGGTAATTAAAAAAATTTGGCTATTCAAGTTCTAAACAAACATATCAATTAGAAAAGAAAGTGACAGAAAATCAAAGGAGAAAGGGAAGGAAGAACAAACTAGTTTTAGGGCCAGCCGGGTGGTTCAAAAAAGCTTGGATCTTGGTAACTACTGCCATGGCAGTAGATCTCTGGTCTCTCTCTCTCTCTCTCTCTCTAAACGCAGGAAAAACGTATACTCACTGCTGTCAGGTTCAACAACTGAGAAGTTGTTTTGAGAATATTCTTCTTATTTACTCATATTTTTCACTACATAAAATAAAAATAAAACGTGGCATTTGAACAAAAAATAAATAAATAAAGTGGAATTTATAATTTTAAAATTTGATGGAAATTAATGTTATTTATTTTTTTCTAATGAAATAAAATTTTTAGTTGGGAAGAACATGTATTTTGAAAAAAAAAAAAAAGTACACAGTTTGTTTTTTTATGGTCTTGTAGAGACTTATTATTTATCAATTAGGGCCTTTGGTATTACTTTTAGAGGTTGTTTTTAACTTTTTAAAAAAATTACAGTATATTAAGGTGTTTGTTAAATTCCATTTTTACTGTCGTCAAATAATAGAATTTGAGAAGCAGGTTAAGAATTATTTTTGCACAATAACTTCTAATGTCATTATCTAAATTTATTAAGATAACCTTAATAATAAAACTTAATTATCAATATATATATTTTATTTTTTTATACCAAATTAAAATGTATATTTTTAAAATAATTATTTAAAAATTGAAAATCTTTAATAAATATGATATGCTGAATTTCATTCAAATAGTTTCAATAATTATCAAAAGATTTAAAAATAAAAATAATTTTTCTCCTTAAATAAAACTAATTTATTTTTAAGAACTATTTTAATTAATAAAATAAAATTATATTTTTCATATTATGAATATTAACCATCAAAATAAAAAAAACTAACTATAAACTGTGTGATAAAATATGTCTAACAGTTTACTAAACACTTAAATTTTACTTTTGGCACTCACAAGAGCTTTATAAAGTATTTATCAAACACCTATATGCTTCTGGTCACAGTAACTTATTACTAACAACACAACAACAATAAAAAAAATTTTACAGCACAACAATATCAATCTGGCCCTTAATTAAGTGCCCATTATGGCCCTTTGTATCTTGTGATGCAACGGAATGGATAGGGACGACAATAAAATATAAAAAATGACTATTTATATCAAGAACTAACTAGGTTATTTTTTTATTAATTAAATGAGAATTGTTTATTTTTAAGTAGAATGACATAAATAATATTTGTTTTTTTACCTTTGAGTGATATTTTTGGTTGGGAAAACATGTTTTTGGACCAAAATTTGACCCCTTTTTATTTCCAAAAGTTTGCTTCCAGGTTGCTTATTTATTCATACGTTCATATGTCGCTCATGCAATAGAAGAACATCTTGTTTGTCGTTGCAAGTCTGGTGTCGTTTATGGAAACGACACGTCATCTCTTTTGTAAAGTTTGTTGTCTTTTCAACACCTCCACCCCGAAATAAATAAATATATATATTTTCCCAAAATGATATCCTTTTGAAGTAGACATTTTTTTATGAGCCTTTTGAAGAAGAAATTATTTTGGCATACCTCACGCTAAAATAAAAGGCTTTGGTATGTATTGTTGATTTTTTCTTTATCCTTGACAACTTGTCACGGTGTATTAAATATGTATGATTAATTTAAAAAATGTTTATGAACTATGTACTTTTCAGTTTTCGATGTGTTCTTCCAATTTTAAAAAGGGTTTAATTTGACTTTTAAATTCTATAAAATCGTGTAAAACATCTTTCAACTAATTCATTTTTGATGATTTAATTTTATAAGTTGAACACAAAATTAGTATTATGAGAATAAATCGACTTAAAATTAATATTTTAAATGGTATTTATGAATCTATAAATAGCTTATTACTTTGTTAGTATTATAATGGATCTGGAGGTATTTTAACAATTTTTATATAGTTTAAAGGGTGAATTGAATCTTTTTTAAAACTCGGGGTGCAATTAAATTAGGATACATATTTATTCAAAAGCTTTTACGAAATTAATCTAAAATATCATGTGCGCAAGTCAAGAAACGACATATAGTTCTTTTTCTTAAAAGATTTCTGCCACTTGGATATATACGGCATGGCGTTCGTTCAAACAAGACTTTGCAAAATGGTCAAGATACGACATATCGTTTTATTTCCAAAGTATGTGGTCCTAGATTTGCATAAACGACATCTATTTCTAGATTTATCACTTTCTGTCGTTTTTATGACGAGACCGCATGATGTATTGTTTGCAATTAAAAGAAGCGCGTGGAACTTCGTTTGCGTTCAAGTTGAGAAATTTAGAATCACTCTTTCTATTACTTTTTTTTTTTTTGTCATTCTTTATATTCATTATTTAACACGTATACTTTATTAAGATAACATATTATTAAACAAAAAATGAGATATTACAATTCACGTGTCAAATGATAAACATTAAAAGTAATAAAAAGAATGATACTAGTAATTTTTTTTTCAAAATTTTCTTCTTTTGTGTACGTCACTGCTATAAATTTTTAAGGAGGGGAGATAAATACACTTAGAGTGGATAGTTATTATTTTTTTACCCTTTATCCTTTATTCTTTTTTAAAATATGAATAAATAATCTTCTAGTTAAAATCAGATGCTCTATCCATATGATTTTTTTAGTACCTATGAAAAATATCATCCATAAGAAAAATATCATCCATGAAAATTAGTATCTCCTTCCTCCCCTTTTCCTTATTTTTGCTCTTTTGAAAAATCATTTCTAAGAATTGACATGCCAAATTTTTTGAAGTGTAGGGTAATAAATATAACATTACTCTTTTAAATAAATCCAAAAATTTACTCGGTTTCATCTCGAAAACAATGTTTACACGTTTCGTTAGTTTAAATCACAACTTAAGTTTTTTTGCTACAGTATTTTCTCTCATGAAAATTCAACTTTTTTGGCTACAACATCTTCTCATATGAATTTACTTTTTAACTCAAGTAATCAACTCAAACGAACGAAATAAATGAGTCAATAATATTTGATTGGAAAAGAAATATCATGTTAGGGGAAAAAAAAGAAAGAAAAAGGAAAAGACATATGTCTCTAATTTATTTCAAAAATACAATTCTATTGATGTGGACAAAAGATTAAAATCTGTATTTTTTGTTCCTTGCCTTCGCCTTCTCTTAAGTGCCCTTGCAAGGCATAGATTTTCAACTAAATAAAATCTAAGTACCTAATTTTGCCAACACCATTATTATAATTGCAATCCCATCCACCCATGAACGATTTGTAATCCTTTACATCTCTATCATCATAAACTTTGATAGATATCCATCACCAAATTAGATTTTCTTTATAGTTTTTTCATCATCTATACTTATCCTATATTTTTGGATCAATTTGCTTGAAAATGGAATACTTGGCATTAAATTCTCTTCTTTTTTAGGCTTTTGGACTTTGGAGCAAAGAAAGTTGGGGAGTGAAAATTTGCAACCAACCACATTCAAAATGTGACTACATAACGTAATCTAGCCAAACTTTGCTCCCTTGAAATTAGTATTACACAACTTTCTAGCCGTTTTAATTGATATCTAATTGACATCAGAACAGGTTTTCCAAATTTAATGTCTCAAAACGTGACCTTTCACTATCTTTCTTCCTTTTTTTGACATAAATAATGACTTTGGAGTTGGCACTTCAATAAGCCCATTGATTTCAACTCGTTAAACAGTTTAAATAGTAAAGCATTATTATGAGGGACCAGAACCTCATAGCTTGTGAATAGCTAGGCGCCAAAGTTGTCCTTGCTTAATGGTAAATAATGATACATTGCATTGCAAGGTAAAAAATACAGTCTTGAGTTTTTGTCCCTTAAGGGTAAAGGCTATATATAGTAATTTGCAACCATTCATCAAATATATGGACTAGTTTTCAACGGTTACGTTTCTACCAGAAATTATTTACTAAATATAAAAATTTGACGGCATAACTTGATAAGAATCTAATCTCATTGATTATCATAATTGTTTTGGTCAACTACCTAATTTACTATAACTGTCTTATTAATATCGCACGGTTAAAACAGTGATAACCATTACAATCATAATTTTACTCTCAACTTTTGTACCAAATTTGAATGAGTTATCATTTTTTTATTAGTACGTGTTAATTTATAATAAAAGGTTGTATCAATCAATAAAACAATGACAACACTAATGCATTTATATAAAAGTTGAAATTATTGTTGTTGTTGTTGTTAGCTTACAGCTAAAAGAAAATGAATATGTACAAGAAGATGGGCAAAAGGGAAAGATTACTATTAAATAGTCTGACCACATTATAATTTATCTAATTCTGATTTAATCTGTTGAGATATAAAACTTTTTCCAACGAGAAAAATGAACTATAAAAATAGATGCGTTACTTGAGATTGATCCCCAAAAAAAAAAAAAAACTCAATTTCCATGGATATTAGATGTCTTGAGATTGAAGACAACGAGAAGAAAAAGAAAACAAAATGCTCTACAATGTCATTGATCTTAGGTGAGTCCATCCTAACTATAGTGAGCAACTCTTCTTCCATTCTTAAAGCTCACCTAGAGGTTAAAGAAGACAAAGTAAGGCATTATTGTTCTAGAGAAATTAAGTCTCAACCAACTTCATCAACTTTTATTTAATATCTAATCTTTCTTGCCGGCTCCAACAACCACCAAACCATTTTGTCATAATTTAAACAATTGAACCGGAAATATTCAGTGCCCAAAAAGACATTAAAGAAAAAAAAAAAAAAAGAAAAAAAAAAGAGAGAGTGATGGCAGAGAAGGCCATTATTACTAACTGGCTCTTCTTAACATATTTCATGCTTCAAATCCTTAAGGTGGTGTGTGCAAATGTTCCAGCCATTATTGTGTTTGGAGATTCTTCTGTAGACTCAGGTAACAACAACCAGATTTCAACAATCTTAAAGAGCAACTTTGAGCCTTATGGCCGGGACTTCTTCGGCGGCAACCCCACCGGGCGGTTTTCGAATGGCCGGATCCCGACGGACTTCATCTCCCAAGCTTTCGGCCTCAAACCAACGGTTCCTGCTTATTTGGATCCAGTTTATAGCATTAAGGATTTTGCCACTGGGGTCTGCTTTTCCTTAGCAGGAACTGGTTATGACAATGCCACTTCTGATGTCCTAGTAAGTCAAACTATTGACTTCATTATTGAGTAAATTATTGAGTAACTTGGGCCTTGTTCGCTATCATTTTTCATTTTCTTTAAATAAAAAAAAAAGAATTGATGGAGATTCTCTTATGTAACATTTTAAGAGAATCACTACTACTTATTTCGTCTTTTGTTATGCTTTAGAAGAATTTTATGGTAAGATATTTAACCATCAGGTCACAAATATGACAATTTAAAGTAACTAAATTGAACATATGACGGTTAAAAACTAAGTCCTACAGGTAGGATATTTTATTCATATCCTATGACAGAATTCTCCTATCAAATAAAATAACAAGAGTGTTACTATAGTCAGAACTATAAGCAATGCAAAAATTTCAATTGCAAAGTCACACGGATACAATTGTTTATTGATTTCTTTACGAACTTGCAGTCTGTGATACCTTTTTGGATGGAACTGGAGTATTACAAGCAATACCAAAATGATCTAAGAAACTATCTCGGCGTTGAGCAAGCTAATGGGGTTATAAGTGAAGCACTTTACCTACTTAGCTTAGGAACAAATGATTTTCTGGAGAATTACTACATAATCCCAGATGGAAGATCGTCTCAATTTTCCATCGAGCAATACCAAGATTTTCTAGTGGGAATTGCGAGGGATTTCGTCACAGAGCTTTACTATCTTGGAGCAAGAAAGATATCTCTAGGTGGGCTTCCTCCGATGGGGTGTTTGCCATTGGAGAGAACCACAAATATCTTCTTCGGGAGTCAGTGTATTGAGGAGTACAACACTGTGGCTCTACAATTCAATGGGAAGTTGCAGGCTTTGGTAGAAAGCCTCAACGCGACACTCGTTGGATTGCGACTCGTCTATTCGGACCCCTATGAGATTCTCTACGACATGATTCAAAATCCAATCTTTTTTGGTGAGTTCAATTAATTTCTCTTTTTTTTCATGGTTTTTCAAAGTAGGGTTTTTAACGCAATTGCCTCTAAACTTATCGTGGTTTAGCAAATTGCCTCTTAAACTTTTAATTTTAGTAATCAATTCCCTAAACTTGTAAAATTCTTATAATATGCCCCATTTTACTAAATTTGCTCAAATTTTTTATTAGATTTAAGGGATTAAAATTTGAAAATTTGAAATATTTGTATTACATTTGAATTAGGATGTAATTTTTCATTGAATATGCTTTTTCGACACTAATTTAACACAATCATAGTCACAATAGAGCATATTGAGTCAATGCACCTTGAGCTTTCGTCATTTTGTCATCAACAAGTTATTCTCTTAACTTTTAAGTCGTTGGCAATTAGGGTCTCAAATGATAAAACTTGAAAATTTTAGGGTCTAATTTGTCACCCAACATAAGTTTCTTTTTTTTTTTTCGGCAAAAGATCATGAGGCATTTCTATTCATTATTAACCTCTTTTAATTATTGAACCACTACTGCAATTGATTTTTAAATTTAGAGCCTTATTTCTTAAAATTAAAAGTTGACATTCAAGTTACTAAAACAGATAAATTTAAAACATAAAAAAATAAAAATAAAAAACTCTGATGTTCTTGTTATTAGTGTTACATGCTATCACAACCATATCAATCTACCTTTTTTGGTCACTATGTTTTTTTATAGTCCTTGCTTATGAAACCAAACTAAGTGGTTATGATTTTTATTATTTTTTGTTTCATTTTCAGGATTTGTTGATGCAAATGTAGCATGTTGTGGCACAGGATTGTTTGAGATGGGATATTTGTGTGACCAAATAAACCCATTCACCTGTTCAGATGCAAACAAATATGTATTTTGGGATTCCTTCCATCCCACAGAGAAAACCAATGCCATTATAGCTGATCATGCAGTGAAAAATTCCCTATCTCAGTTTCTATATTGGTGACTGTTATTAGAACATTTATTAGCTCGTCAGTGTAATTTGCATTGTAGCAATAATGTTTTTCTGGTACACCAAATATTTCTACTCACACATATACAGAAATTTAAACACTATAATTTGTATACTATGGTTTCTGCAAAGATTGAACTTATTATTTATCGACATTACATGTTAAAATATGTGTGTATATATAAGTGTGGGTTTAATAGTTACTCTATTATTTACCCATCGATAAGTATCGTTTTACTCATAATATATTTATCCGACAGTTGTATAAATTGAATTGTTGATTAAAAAAATTTGTGACAATTAATGAAATTAGATTCTTATCACGTCACATTACATAACCATTATAGAAAGAATTAATCATCAGCCAGTTTTTTCTTCCTACTATAGGGTCCATATTTTAAAATTCAACATTTTTATTATTATATTCCATCTTTTTCTCACGCACACGCAATACACATATATATGCACTGTATGCATATGTATATCTCATTTAGTTCCAACTCTACGTTAAGATGAGTGCCTAGCAAAGAATAATTCACATTGAAGCAAAAGAAAGGCCAATTACAGGTGGAACCCAGAAAATGCTTCTACTGGTGGAAGAGTTGTTTTTAACTGTTGGATTAAATTTTTAACGGTTAGATCTGTGTATGTCTATATTAAAAATTTACAGCACGCTATATAGAACAGCTTCCTCTACAGATCTGACAGTTGAAAATGTAATCTAACGGTCAAAAACAGCACAAACAGGTACTAACATTAAGTGGTACCTTTTTATTTCTCATCATAAACAAGTGCAATGCAAGTCCTTCACACAGATACTTCATAACCACCTAATAAAAGAGTGTCAACACCCCTTAGTAATATGAAAGGAGGTTTCGCAACTCTTTTCTTTATCCATCATTAATCTAATAATATGTCACATATTAAGACCCTAATAAATAAATAAATAAAAACTATATATGTACCCCAATAGTATATAGTAATATTAATATACTATAATAATATAAATATACTATATATACCAATGTTATATATTCAAGTCCCACGAGCCAACATTTTATAGTATTCTTCCCTGGAATGTTGTCGTTCAAGTTTCAATCTCTCATAGAAATCCTCAATGAACTCTTGGGCCTTCACGTCAACCACATGCAACGAGGAAGAGCTGGAAGAGCTAGTAGTGAAGCCATCCACAAAATTACCATTTTCACCCTCTTCACCTTCAAAGGCATCCCCCAAAACCTGCTCTTCTCCCGGGGCATTTTGGTAATTACGCCCCTCCTCATGATCACCGCCAAAACCCTGCGTTTCTTCCTCTCTTTCTCGGCCAGGAAGTATTCTCTGCGACAGATGGCGGCTGTTGGGGCGGTGGCACGGAGGAAAATGGTGCTGCCGAGGGTGACCGCAGCAGACCTCTGGCTTTGAAGAGCAGAGGGAAAAACGACGTCGTTTGGTGTTGTGCTTGCTTAGGGATGTTTTGGGAATCCCAAGGCAATACAGTCTTGATCGTACGGCATGCATGAAGTGCTTCCAAACCTTCTTAAGGTGTGGAAGATTATCACTATTATTGTCACTAGAAGTGAAGAGGCTCATGAAAGAAAAAAAACAAAAAAAAAAAGTCTAATAATTCTCAAAATGAGGTTTTTCTTGATCTCTCTAGAGGATGAGACAAAGAAGTCAAAGGAATTTTTGCCTTTGGACTGGCCAAATATATGTTGGCTATAAGCTTGGCTACGTCCAATTTCCAAATCTCACAAAAAGGTGAAAGAGAAGTAGTAATGAATGTGGTACCATTTTATTTTCCTTTTTTTACGTTTGTCATGTCGAAAATCTTTTTAGTTTTTAGGGAAGTTTTCTTAATGTCCGAGGATGTATTACAATGTTGATACATTTCCATGAAATCTGCCCCTAATTTCTTGTTAGTTGCTGAAATCCTGTTAAATAACCATGTGGGGGGGCTTGATCCTATGGTATTATATATGGAACCATTTTTTTCTTACATATATGTGTAGAACTTTTAGCCAATTAAGATTTTGTATCCTCTTAAATTAAGATTGGAAAGTATCGGCAATCAAGGATGTATGCTTGTATACAAAATTAAAGTTCAACGCTTGTGTCAATCAAACACGTAATGAAATAACTTTGTTTGCTAATAGGAACCGTATAATAGTTTTGTTTGTTGCCTTGGTGGTACCGGTATGGCGGTATCTCAATTTTGATTGATCTGATTTTTCCATCAATTATTGAGTTTTTTAAAAAGCCACGTGTCAATTACTTGTACTCCTATTTATGTATCCATTCTCAAAACTCGATACACATCTAGACCTCATTTAGTTCGCTGATTCAAATTTTTAATTTGAATTGAAATGTAAAATTTTTTACTATAATAAAAAAATTAGATGTGATCATTTTTTAGAGTTTTTTATTGTAACAAAACTCAAATTTTAAATTCAAATTAGTGAAATAAAAAAGACCTGTTCTTTTTTTGTCATTCGAGTTTATTGGAGGAACCTATTGTCCATCGCGGTCGTGGTTTCAGTTTGCCTGTTCGATACCATATGGGTTGTCATTAGTGTTTATATATATATATATATATATATATATATATATATATATATTAATATTGTCGCTCTGTAGCCAAAGATAGAAGTTAATGCAGATTGTCATACTTAGTAATAAATTATAGTAGTCGTAATATACAGAAATGGAGCTTAAGAATGAATAATTCGATATATTTACTTATCCCTCACTCTTCAAAATATTACAACCATAGTCCATAGCTGACGTCATCCAAAGCTCCTTCAATCTAAAGTGCAGAACTGTCTTTTTTCCTTTCAGTAAATATTTCAAAGGAACTGCTTTCTTAGGTCCTCTAATCATAGGGGTTTCTGAAATTTTTTAAGAGGTCAGGGATGTCATAACCCAACATGTCATCAACGGCTTGAATCATTTTGGGCTTCAACTTCTCAAACTTGTCAAAATTGTAGCCCCTCAATACCTCCCTAAATTGCTCCACGTTCGGGAAATCCCCCGGCGGTAGATGAAACTCCCTTTGGACCTGTAGTATTAAGGAGCAAAGATAAGCAAACAAAAATAATTTTGTGTCTGCATTTGCGCTGGGGTTTTCTTATAATGGTGCACCCTAAAATTTTTAATCTTGCAATTTGAATTGATATCCGTTATTGATTGGATTCATTGCATCGTTAAGGATTGTCAAATAAGTTTTCGGTCCAACTAGTAAACGAGGAAATGTTCAAGGTGCATTGGTGCAAACTACGCTTTGCGCTTGTTTTGGTATGTGTGCAAGTATATGTATGTGTATATCTATCAATTCGTGCATGTATGTATGTATGTATGTGTATGTGCGTGTGTGTGAGTATATGTATGTGTGTGTCAGTGTATAATTACGTATGTATGTGAAGAGGGAGAGAGAGAGAGAGAGAGGGAGATTCGAACCTTTCCAAATTCATCTGCCAAGTTATCAATAAGTCTTTGTTGAGCCTTGGCTTTGCCCATCATAGCAGGCATCTCTTTCTTTAGATGGCTGATAATGTAAGCGTGTATCTTAGCAGCTCTAGTACGCTTCACGAATTCATTGATCTGTGGAAACAAATGTCGTGAGAATCCACTCGGTTTACTAAGTTCAATGATTCAACACCTAATTAAAGAGCTCAAGGAATGTTTAGTATGCACATGTATACTTCATTAACAAAAAATAGGACTTACTCGACGATCACAAGCCTTCTTCGGAATATCTTTCAGATCAGCGAGAAGATCCTCCTGTTCCTTTTCGAAAAGCTCTTTACCGATTGGACCGGTGGCAGCTTCATTTACTGGTTTGTCGTTGAATGAGCTGTTAAAATCCAAAGAGAGGCCAGCAGACCATTTTAGGATTTTGCAAACATAGGGTCATAACACAAAACTCCTAAAATTTAGAGTTAAGAACAGCCAATTTGCAATTTACTTCGGTGGTTTGCAATTCAAACTATTTCCAGCATAGATTAACGAAAATATTAGTGACATATCATGCATTGTCGTCGGAGACCAAAACGAGAAAAATCATTCAGATATTTAAAAAAAGTTATTTTGCACCCTCACCAAATTTCTCGACTTTATTCCATGAGAAACTACTTAGATTTCGTTGCAAAGCTATGCTTATCGACTTGTAACTCTTTCTTTGAACTTGATAAAATAAATAATCAAACATTAAGATAATCATATAAAAGAGAGGGTACCCAATATAAACACGCATGACTTCAGGAGTATTAATAACCTTTCCAAGTGACCACATCAAGGCTCCATAAACCCTCATTAGCTGTAATAAGAGCCAAGAAACAAATAATTAGTTTTCCATAACTGACATCCAGGTATAGAAATAAAAAGGAAAAAGTTCAGATATAACTTTGGCGGAAAAGTACTTACTTGTTGAGTATCAATTTGGTCAGCCTTATTCAACACTACACGAATCTTGTCATCATGACCACGTAATGATGAAATTACACGTTTAAATTCATCACTAACATCAAGTTTGTGAGGATCAAACAAAAGTAGAATAAGGTCGCACTTTGCAGCAAACCACGAAGTTACACCAGTAAAATCATAGGCCCGTTGGGTTCTTTGCTTCTCTCCTGATAAAACTCCAGGAGTATCCACAAATGTAATGTGCTCTAGCAGCTTTAAATGTAAAATGATATGCTTCAGATACTTTAAAAGACAATCTGGACAACTTCAGGGTTATTCCAAAAAAATAACTTACAGGATGCGGCATTTGGGAACATTCGAATTTCGACAAAAATGCAGTCCCAAACGTCGTAAGCCCACTGAAGGGCATGTCCGCTTGGACAGCAACAGTGTTTCCAGGGATACTTCTTTCATCAGGCCCAGACTATATACAAGCAGCATAATAAAACATAAATTAACTAAATAAACACATAAATAATAGAAAGCAACATGTGTAGAAGTAAAAGATGGAGAACAAGAGCAATAACCGAATGACATTTGAAAATTGGGTTTACGATTTAATTGTCAAAACAAAGTTAAAGAAAGTCACTAGGTAGCAGACAAGACAAACAAACCAATCAAGAAAAATTATATATTGCAATTTGGTTCTGATTTCTTGTGTGGATTCGTAAATACCCCTAAAATTTATTTATTGCTCAAAATTTCAAGCCCCAGAAGTGATAGAAAAGGAGATTAATTTGCAATTACCATTACAACAACAAATCTATCAGTTGTAGGCTCCGGACCAATGTGAGCTCCTGTTAACATTATATGAGATGAGAATTAAAATAAATGCAAAAAAAAAAAAATGTATTCAGTGCATGGATACATAAGCACATCCACACTCGCAAAAGGAGGGGGATGGACAGAGAGAGATAGAGCAAGGATTACTTGCCTGGATAACTGCTTCTTAGCAAATGCTTGATGAATGTTGTTTTCCCAGTAGAGTATTGACCCAAAAGCATAACCATGGGTTTGGCATCAAAATCACTATTAGTCTGCAAAACACAGTGAATCGAGATCAATTAATAATATACAATCTGCTATTAGTATAATTAACCAAGTGGCAATACCAAGTACTGATAACAGAAAACCAGTGTAAAACAATTTTTTTTTTTTTTTTTTAATAATCTGGGAAAAAGAATAACAGACACTAAGGAAAAGAATCACAAGTAAAACACAAAACATACTTACTAATGCTGGGGATACAAAGTCATTAAACCGATAAGTAGCTTCTAGTGGCTTCAGCTTCTTAATATATAGTCGTTTCAAGCCATCGATAATTGACGTTACAGATGAAAGAGAGACCTGATAAAACAACACTAAGAATGGATCACATCATATCGAGAAAGGAGATGAATCAAGTGGTACAATGATGATCATATGCAATAATTCTGATACAAGACAAAGATACACGTCGATTTAACTAGGATTACAAGTATAAGAACATTGCAATGAGCAAGAGACGACAAAAACTTATGTGTGCATACTACGTTCAGTAGGATTCAGGCATACAACCAGTATAAAGAAATACTTGTTCCTGCCATAATGGAAGCAATGAAATGGAAGTCTGAACAGCCACCATCACCACCAAACAAAACAGACACACACAGAGAAACGCATTTTGGCTTAGAAGAGAAATTCAAAAAATTGTAGGATAAAGGCATACCTTCGTTGATGACTTTGAAGAAAACCACTGCGCCGAAGGTGATTGTTCGACTATAGAACCACCTGCATCACCGCCAACCAATCAGCAAATTACGATTACTAGTTAAACCTAAAGCATTAACGACCACAGAGTGACGGAATCCTAACCGTTTACATCGGGCTCGCTTGTCTTTTGTGAACGCTTTTTCTTCTGAATAAAGTAAAGCAAGTTCAAGCAAAAGTAGAGTGGTAAATGAAAAACTTTCGTGAGAAAGAAATAAAGAAGCCAAGACTATTTTAGAAACAATATAAATAACTTAAAAGAGTATACTTACTGCTAGCAATCCATCCAAACCTTCCATAACTGGAAGCTTCAAATTTTCCAAGTCCACTGCAATACATGAAAGTAATGTCAAATTTTTAAAACACAAATGAGCTGAAAGCATATTAATTATTTACTTGAAAAAACGCATGAAAAACAGAGTTCTAAACTGAGAAATATTACCATTGCTATTCAATAGATCGTGTGTTATCCCATGTCCAGCTTGTGCCAGAGAAACTAGCTAAACACAAAGAAATAGTAACAATTTAGGTATTCTATAAACACGTAAATAAGACGAAGAATTTTGTGCTAGAGTAAGACACGGTTTTGAACTTGATGAAAATTAAGAAAAATGATATCAAATTGAGAAAAACATGACATTTAACAGTTCAAAACCGCACTTATCCATAAAATCATCCATAAAATTCTACGAATACGATCATTTTTACCATTCCAAACAAACAGAAATAGTAACCTGCATAGCAGCAACAAACTCTCCAAAACCAAGATATCCCTGTCTCTTAGAATCTGCAACCGCCCACACCTTTTGGCGGGGTAAGAAAAAGAACAAAGAAAATTCTAGTCAAAATATATATACCAACAAATAAAACCAAGTAGAAAAGAAGCTATCAAAAGTTTTGCTTGATGTTATTTCTTAAATCAAAATCTATTGTTATTTTTCAGTTTAGTTATTACATACTAAATTTGATTTGCAGAGAAACTTGCATTGCAGAAAAAGAAAAAAATATGAGAATTTAATGCATTAACTGAGCTAATAACACTAATTTAAGCACTTAGATTCAAACGAACAAATTAAAATTCTCTCGTGGAAAACAAATTAGGAGGAAGATGAACCTGCTTGAGATCTTGCCGCGGCAAGTTTGACATGGCGAAGAACTTTATCGCATCATTACCGGTAATGCGGCCATCGCCGTCTGAACAGAAAAAGCTCGAAACCATTAAATTCCACAAGGTTTTCAATTTCTCTTTCTCGGCCTAAACTTTCCCAGAAAACAAACGGAAAAGTACAAAACGGTTACCGTAACAAAGCGAGGAAGAATCGAGAATGTACCTGAATCAGCGTAAGAAAACCATTCCTGATAGATCTTCTGGTGCTCCTTCGAGCACGAACTTATCGGAGACGAAGCAATCTCCATAGGGGAAAAAAAGCGGCGGAATTTGTTCAGAGCTGGGAAATGGAAGCGATCCTTCTTTCTTTCAATTTGTGTTTGGAAACGGAGAAAACACGGGAAAGTTCTTTCTTCGTTTCCGTTTTGGCGGAAAGGAAGGAGGACGGAGGAAGGAAGGAAAGAGGGAATCCTTCGTACGGACTGAAAGTGGTGGAAAGAGACAAAGGCAAAGGAGGCAAAAGCAGGCGCAACCGCACTAGCGATTGGTTGGTTAATCGTGCAGCGACGTCGTTTGGGTGCTCAGTTGAGTTGGCACCGTTGGGCATTAATGGCGGTTAAAACGGTGACTTGTGGGGATAGGAAGTCAAGATCAGTAGGACGGCGTTTTTACATGGAAAAGAAGAGTTTTTTGCTATATGGGGTCCCAAACTTTTTGATATTCATCATTTGGGTCCCTAATTTGAAAATCTAGACAACTTGGTCTCTAAACTCCCATTTTCTTGACATTGGGTCCATATTTTGAAAATTTAAACAATTGGATCCCTAAACACCTATTTTCTTGGCACTTCGGTCCCTATTTTAAAGATTTTGATAACCGAATCTCCATACTCCTATGAGCTTGTTGTCTTTTACATTGATTATTTATTATTATTATTATTATTATTATTATTATTATTATTATTATGTGGCTTTTAGCATAATTGTTCCTTAAATTTTTAATTTTGAAAATCAAACTGGAACTTTGTAAAGTCATTGTAATGGGTCTTATTTTACTAAATTTGTTTAAATTTTTTATTAAATTTAAGAAATTAAAAGTTAAAATATTAAAAAATTTGTGTTACATTTGAGTTGGGATTTTATAATTTTTCGTCAAACGTGTTTTACACTAACTTAACATAATCACCATTAAAAGTGGAAATATTACAATAATTTTATAAATTGAGAGAATAACTTGTTAAAATTAAAAATTTAAGAGACAAATTGCTAAAGCTATACAAATTTATAAGGTAAATGTGTAAAATACCCTGTTAATACAAACTATGATGATAACTTGAAGAGTTATATGAACGATCTATCAAGTACTCAGTCATTAAATTATGCCTATTAAAGAAGATAAAAGTGTGGACAAGGAAAAGAGATAAAGTAATTTATGAACCGCTTGGTTCATAGATCTAAATATAAATTCAAATTTATTTAATTTTTTGAAAATAAAATATTGTAGTAAGAAAGGTTTGAATCAAAACGTTTTAGTGTTTATAAAATAAATAAGCTTAAAGTTATGATATGGAGAGTAAAAAAAGGAATATTCTCTTGTAAGTTTTGACATAAGAGGATGAAAAGTAAAATGAAATTCTCTCCGCTAATTTGTCTAAATTTAAAGAAATAAAAATTATTTGGAATAATTGAGTGATTCAAATAACTAATAAGATCCATTTTTCCTTTATTAATCTACCCTACCAAATAACTATAAACCTAATTGTATATTAGATGTTAGTTTCTCATATAATTTCTCTATAAAATCTTCGTTTTAGGTTTTTTTTTTTTTTTTTTTGACAAAGGGGAAATTTCATTCATTAGAAAAGAAATATAAACACAAGTGACAAACAACCCCAATTACAATCAGACCACTGACTTGATCCACCATTAAAGACACAACAGCACTGGGACGAAAATAAATATCAAGACTAAATGGGGACAGGCCCGCTCAACATAGACAATTCAAGCAATACCACAGTTCGTTAGAGACTAAAATAGTCAATGGACCAAGCTAGTAGACCGATACAAAGCCCCAAATAACGAGGAGACACACATGGCAAGAGAACCCTTTAGCCATAGAAAACAAACCCGGGTGGTGAGTTACACCGCCGTTATTACACACAAACTAGAATAAGAAAACAAAAAAGAAAATCTCCGGACACTGTTGTCGAAAGCCTCTGGCGAAAGGGTAGCTCGCATAGGAACCGTCAAGAAGGACAGCTAACTTCGAGAGGCGCGTAACGGAGTCAAAAAACTACCACTAAACGTCATCGGGAGAGCTCCGCCAAACGCATATGAAAAGAGATGCCGCCATCGTCCCAAGAAGTCCACCACCTTGAAGAAGAAAAACCCTAGAGATCTCAGACATCCACCAGCTAAAGCACCGTAAAACGCATCACATCCGCGTGAATTTCAAGCTTTGACCAGCTTTAGATTCGCCCAAACGGAGCTGTGACGCTGTACACTACCCCTGTCATCATAAAGCCCGCGAAAAGATGAGTCGGAAAACCAAAAACCAAGGTCTAGAGCCTAGCGACGTGTCCGAAGGTGGTGCCGAAGCTCGGCAAACACCTGTAACTCTTTTTCGTGTAAGAGAGAGAGGGAGAACGAAGAGAAGATGAAGAGAGAGAAAGAGAGTCTAAAAAAATAATAAAATAAAATGACAAATTTTATAAATTCTACTTAATTTTATCACTTGTGTCAACATGCCTCATGTGCCCTCTAAACTTTGTCACTTCTGTCAACATGACCTCTGAGGTTAACTCCGTTAAGTTTTTTAACGGAAATATTTATAAACCCTCTTGAACTTTGTCACTTATGTCAATATGCTCCCTGAACTTTAAAATGTACATATTTTTCCCTCCGAACTATGATATGTCTCCATTTCTTTTAATAGAAATGTTGATATGACCATTAAATTGCTAATTATCCCTAATATTTGAGGTTTATTGAACACCTTCTTCTCTAAAAATGTTACTTAAGCACCAATTCTCAAAACATTAGTTGATTAGAGTCAATAAAGAGGGAAAAAATGAGACATATTATAGTTAATGGGCAAAATATGTACATTTTAAAGTTTATGGAGCATATTGACACAAGTGACAAAGTTTAAGTATTTATGTTAAAAAAAACTCAACGGAATTAAGCTTAGGGGGCATGTTGACCCAAATGACAAAGTTCAGGGGACACAACATGCACATTTTAAAGTTCAGCGGACATGTTAACACAAGTGGTAAACTTCAGAAAGTATTTATTAAATTTGTCCAAAATAAAAAATAAAAAAAAACAATAAATTTTCTACATCAATAAAATTTAAAAAATAATAAAATCAACATTAAGCATACGAAAGTTTATTTCCTAAGCACTATTTGCCACATCCCAATCCCAATAACTTAAAAAAATGAACTAATTTTATCAGAAGTCTGAATTGGGTTAGAAACAAGCACCAATTTCTTCACCATTTTCATTTCCATTCACAGACTAATGGCACAACAAAAGCATAAACTGTGTATTAAGGGGATAAAACGACATTAAATAATCAAAACTTATTTCCTAAGCAATATTTGCCACATCCCATTACTATAAAAAATGAACTTTTAAACAGAAAAGAATTACTAACGAAATTACACGATCTCTTATTGTACATTATGCTGTCACACAAAGAAGAGACAAGAGGACAGGGAAGTGAAATTTCCTCAGAAGAAGACAAGGATTTGACAAAAAGACATACTGAAACTTTAAAAATAAATGTGACATTGTAGCACCAAAAGGGGTCTCATACAATTAATTTACAAGCTCCAATTGCACAAAATTAAATAACTAAACAAATAAATAAAATCTGCCAACAACAATTTCTGGACTGCAACCAAATGGGGTTTTTTTTTCTTCAAAGTTCAATTTTCCTTTTCTATAAGCAATCCTTATCTGCAGTCACTGGCCAACTTCATTTTCTTTTCATCACTATTTTTGACGATGATTCTCATGCAGATAACTACAAATTGTTATTGACAATTTTAACTTGGGTTTCTTGGGTCTTTCTACGTGGAGCCTCGGGTCGGTAGTGCGCGTTTTTAATCTTTAAATCTGAACAAAATTATATCAAAATTAAAACAAAACAATAGTACATAAAACAGACATTTTTAATATGAATTAGTTAAAAACATATACTTACCATTATTATATTTTTTTTAAGGAATCTCCTTTTTAACTTTCTATAAAGCGCTAATGGTTTTTCCAAGTAACCAGAGTACCAAAGCAAGCTCAAGACCAAATATGCTGTGAATTGTGGATCTGTCCAATGTGAACCCAAAGACCGTAATTCCTGCTCTATTGTTCTCAAAATACGTCACTGCAATAATTTAAAGGGAATTAAAAAAAAAAAAAAAACATTAGATTAAGTTGTTGAAAAGCCAAGTCAAAACTTGTAAAATTATTGAATGTATAAAATATAATATGGTTTACTTCTGACTATATTAGTGAGACTCCCCTTGGCATTTTTCTCTTAAGAAAATAAAACTTGTTCGATTTAGTTGGGAATGCCAATTATTAACAATGACTATGACGTTATTTGTTGGGTTTAAGCAACATCATATTTTTTTTATTATGAGTTTTAAGTAGAAAATTCTTCAATAGAATGTGAAAAAGTACTCTTTGAAATGTGAATTTTCAGATCGAATGTATTAAATTAAGGAAGATAAGACACTTAAATAAAACTTAATGAAAATCTAACGATTCAAAATTGTGTCTTATTAGCGCACCGCATAATTTTACTCTTTTAATTAATTAGTAAATCACATTAGTTGACAACACATAAATACAAGTTACGTCTTGTGGGGCTAACTTACCTAGAGCTTGTCTCTTTTGAAATGAAATTGTGCTGTAAGCATAGGCCGGTATGAACTTGGTATTGTCTACGTCATCCTCTTCACCATCTTCGTCATTGTCGTCATCGCCGGATTCTACTTCAGCACCCGCCGGGAACGCTTGGTGGGTCGTGGCATCAGCCGTGGGGGTCTCGCCATCGACCGCATCGAAGGAATCCAACGTCGCACAGATGTGCCACTTGGACGCAAGGCATGTGATTGCTTGTGCCTTGTGAGTGATCTTTGTTGCACTGCGTAGTAGGATGAGGATGGCTGCAAGTAGCGTCATGGAGCATAGCTACACCAAAAAAAAAAAAAAATTTAAAACCAAAAAATATCAAAAAATCATTAAAAAAAATCATCGCGAATAGCAATAAAAAAATTATATTTCAAAATATGAAAAAAAAAATCATACACTGTTTTATCATGGTAAGTGCTTTTAATCTATTTATGTCAAGTTTGAAGAGTGAACTCAACTGTATGATTTAAATCGAATATGCTTATTAATCGTTAAATTTAGTCACATACTATATATGTATTGTCTTATTTAAATTGTAACAATTAGTGACTCTATTAGCTACACATAATAAAATGTCCTCAATATAAAATTTCTCTATTTATAAGAAGTAGCACAATTTTATACAGTAATGTATGTAGGATTTAACCCTTTTTTTCCCCGAATTTTCCACGTTGATTCATATCATTTAAAATGTTTCAAAATAAATTCTCAATCTATTAAGGGTTCGTTTGTTTTATATACTCAAACTCAAATCATTGATTCTGTTACAACATTTTTGTCTCATAAAAAATTTAAATTTAAAACGTCAGAATCAAGAATCATGTTTGATAATACCTTCTAAATGGGTCTTAAATTATTTCAAATAAGTCGTTTCGTATGACGGTTCAAATCTCAACCTTAAGATCAGATAAATGAGACTTACCGTAAGTTCACCGGTCTTGAAAAGATTAAAGTCAACACGGGATTTGATGGTGGTGGAGGTCAAGAGAGAAGCAAATTGACTACAGGTCACCAAAATCAACGCACATAAAATGAAGGCTCGAAATCGGTGGCTTATGATCCGTAGATGCCTCCTGATCCGAAGGTGCTCAGCTAGGATGGACCCCACATCGGAGTCGACGTGGAAGACCGTGGCGAAGTCTTGGAGCCGTAGGATCTGGAGGTGGCAAATCAGACGGAAGAGAACACAAACGAGGAAAATGATCGTCGTTCGATAGAGCCAAGAGCAGAGCTCCATCACGCATGCTACGAAGTCGCTCACCACAACATTGCCCAAAAAGGGTATTTGCGAAGCTCCTGATGCGTACCACCATATCTTGTATGCACTCTCGGCCAAGAAGCATGGGACCACAAAGATGGACAAAATTTTTAGTGATCTCTGCGTCAACAAGTACAATAACACAACGGTAAGTTTTTTTTTCCTTATTTATAAAAAGAAAATTTATCTGGTGTTCTCTCTTTTTTAAAAATACTGATATTTTTAATTTATTGGCCGTTAAATTTGTATTATTTTTTCAATTTGATTTGATTTTAATCAGATTTAATATATATCCGATGGCTAATAGAAAATACTGATATTCCTAAAAAAAAAGAATACCAAAACAAAATCTCTTAAAAAAATTATGAAAGTACATGAAAAGAACATTATATAATAGTCATACAAAGTATTTTCAAAACGTCAAATTGCATCATAACTATACTATTAAATAATATAATAAAATATGATAATTTAAGGAAAGAAATTTTATAAGATTTAGAATCATGATTTACAAAGTATTCTTTTTACAGCTTAAGACAGAAACCGTTATATTTTTCACCAAATTGCAAATTTATACGTTAGTCCTAAACTTTGTAACCTATAGACTATAAATTATTGCTACACAAAGCTCGCATAAATTGGTATGATTTTTAATTACTGAAAGCAAAATTTTTGAAAAGAAGAAAAAGATTGAAAAATAAAGCATAGATTCTGTCACCTTATGGGTATATATGCAGTAGAACATTCCTGAAGACATTGATCCCGTTCACTCTTTATTTACTTCTACACTTCTAAAGGTTAGCTTTTACATACTTCTAGTTATTATTCATTAAAAAAAAAAAAAAAAGCACTTCTAGCTAGATTTAGATCTCCCCATATGATACCAAGGTATAATTCATGTATCTCATGAAAGACTAGCAAAAGGAAAAAAGAAAAATATTTACAATGGAGAATACTATTTTATTTTAAAATAAAAATTATATTTTAATCATTAAATTAGTTTTTTTAATAATCTAATCTTGAGTAATTCTGTTTCACATGTAGTAAATTTTTAATACATATACGTGTAAATTTAACAATTAAAAAACTAATCAACGATTGAAAATAATAATTTTAACAAGTGAAGCAAAATAAACCTCTCCACCTTAAGAATTTTAAAAAATAAAAATCGTTTATGTAATTATAGGGAATTATGGTCTGTCAGCTGCAGAAAAATTAATGTGGTCTGGACAGGTTTGATATGATGGATGCTTCCACTCAAGTTTTTTTTTTCTTTCTTCTTTTAAAGGAAAAGCAATGCTTAATGTAGGCATCGTTCACTTTGTGAATTTGAGTTTTTAATTCAAGTTAAGATGTGATATTTTTTAAAAAATTTTTACTGTAACAAAAAATTTTAATGTGACATTTTCTAAAAAAAATTTTCTGTATAAACCTAAAACTAAAAACTCAAATCAATAAAATAAATGAGACCTTAATTTATGGCCAACTCTGGTGCAACTTTATCATCGTATTCAGAATTTAAAGGTGTGTTTAAAACTTATTTTAAAAGAATTTTATTTTTTTTATGAAAATAAAAATAAGAATATTTTTAATTTTTAAAAAAAATTATTTTTAAAAATGTGTTTAGTAATTTTATTAAGAGATTATTTTTAATATAAAAAATTTATTAATGTCTTTCTCTTTCTCTCTCGAGAGAGCAAAAAATAAAAATAAAAAATAAAAAATGACTAAAAATTATTTTTTATTTCTCTCTTATTTTACATTAAATTAAAAAATAATTTTTATTTCTATTTTTTATTTTTAATTGTATCAAACTCTCTTGTATTTTTATTTTTTTCCCAAAAAACGTGAAAACAAAAATAAAAATAACTTTAAACACAGTCCAATAATAATAATAGGATTAATGGACATAAGGCAGGCAGACACAGGCCATTGAACCAACCATGTTCTTTAATAGGAAAAATAATTTCGTGATAATCTCTGAGAAGTCCATATATATAATTAAGAAGTCAAAAACAAAATGAGCTCCAAAAAATAAAAAATTTATAGGTTGTTTCTAAAAAGAAATAATAAAATAAAATAATAGCTTATTAATAAAAAGAAATATGTGATCTAGAGAGATCCTTAAAGAGAGAAAGCAAACAGCCAGTAAGTGCGAAAGGAAAAGTGCACTTAAATGAGACCTTTAATAGTTTCCTTCTCTTGTAGAATTTCACTTCTATTTTATTCATGGAATTGAAAGTCTGATTTTGGACGATCAAAAGTCAAACATTAAAATTTCATCAAGTTCATATTTTGAGAAAAAAAAAATGTAGGAAACTCTTTTCGGTACGTTAATATATTAATAAATCAAGTTTTTTATCCATTAAATAAATAAAATTTAAAGAATATGCATACTTAATAATTAAAAAAACTTAACTTACTAATACGCTGCCTAACGGGAATCTCCTAAATTGCAATAACAATACTATAATCATCATAGTATTATGAATGCAATTGTAATTCTAAACCTGACTTTTAGTGTAAAAAATGTAGAGTTCAAATCTCTCGGCACAAATTCTTAAAGAAAACAAAAATCACGACAACACACGATTGCTAAAAGAACACCATATATCATGATGTCCCCACCAAAATAATGCAGATGTAAAAAGAGAGTAATAACATACATTATATAGAAAGAGGAAAAAAAAATGTCAAAGTTAATATTTTGTCTAAATTTCATTCCTTCATAAAAAAATGTCCATTTTCATCGATCTCAAAAATCAGACAACAACAATCAAATCCAAAAATAAAACAAAAGAGTAAAAAATAAAAACTCACATTGAGTTGTTCCGTATATCTCTTCCTAACGGTCTCGCTGTCATCCCAAAGCTTATCAAAGAACAAGAACCTCCTCAGGCCGTACCTCCTGACGAAATTGGAGAGGCAGACAAACGACAGCGTCGCGACGGCGCTGAGGGAGAGCTGGACGACGGGGTCGTAGGGGCGGGCGTGCTTGGAGTCGCAGGAGGCGCAGGCGATCAGGAAGTGGGAAGCGGCGGGGACGACGACGGTGAAGAGGACGAACATCGACCACGAGAGGCACGCCGTCCAGGCGCTGGACTGGTCGACGCACATCCACCGGAGGTACGATCGGAAGCTCTGGAGCTCGTCCTGCGCGTGCGACACGCACCGCATGAACTTCTTGTTTGATCGGTTTGACAACAGAGCGTCTCTGTTGTCGTCGTCGTCTTCCATGGAAATTGGTTTTTTTTTTGGTAAAAAAATTGATGGGGTTTTGAGGAATGTAGATTTAGGAAGGAAAAGGGTGTTTGATTTTGTGGAGAAATGAGAGAGAGAGAGAGAGAGAGCGAGAGACAGAGAGAGAGAGAGAGAAGAGCAGTTTGTTTTTGTGCAGTTTTTGTGCCTGTGTTTTGGGTGGGAAATTTGTATATATAGGAGGTGATTTGATGGTTGATTTTCCTAAAAAAGGGAAAAGAAATGAAACAGGAAGAAAACAACCTTCTTTTTTAAAAGAAAATTCTGTGATCTCGTATGGAGAAAAATGAAATGACCTATTGATAAATTAGTGGACTTTGATTCATAAATTTAGAATCATGATTTAAAATTATTTTCAGTTTATGTGTATTTTTTTATGAGAAAAAATACTATAACGAATCATGAATCATGATTCGAATTATGACACGAATCCTCATACTAAACACCTCATTAGAGTTTTCATATGACCTCAAAATTATAATAGTATTCTTATGAAGAAATTAAAAATATTTATAACAATTTAATAGAATTTGATTACAATCATAGAGTTTTTTTTTTTTTAAATGCTACTGCTCAATTTTTTTAAGGTGGTATAAATTATGAGATTTTATGTCCTTAATGGAGAATGGAGATATCCACTTTTCATTTTGTTTTTGAAAAATATATGTGAAAATGCAATTAACCAGGTTAGATCAATTTTTTAACTAGTCAAAAATTGTTATATACATTAAGATTAGTAGGTTTTTGTATTATAATTTGTGGTTCAAAATTATGCAAAATAATTGAACAAGTGTGCTCGCAATATGTTTCTTAGGGGAAAAAAAAAAAACAAAGACACCTGTTTGGGGAGTGGTGGATGGCATTGCCCAATTAGAGGAGGAAAAGTGGTGATTAGTTGTTGGTTTATGAGTTGAAAGAGAAAGTGATCAACTTTTAAATGGCAAAATTAGCCGAATTTAACAGAATCAGTTCGTGCCAAATTTGCCAATATCAAATATATGAATGGTATGTTTTACAAATTTGCATCATTTCTCTTCTTTCCATAAAAAGTGGATTAAAGCTGGAGAGTGTATTATCAATCATAATCTCACTTTTTTTTTTCCTTCAAATGAATGACTTTTAAGTAAGGAATAATAATATAAGGAATAGTCTTTAGACGAATTATGCGGTGGAACCTAACAAGCATTTTCACCGGTAGATTTACTGTTTTTAAGTATTAAATTAAATTTTCAACGTTTAAATCTACATAAATCTGTATTAAAAATTTACAATACGCCGTATAAAATTACTCTGTGTAAATTTGATTATGAAAAATTTAATCCAATAATGAAAATATAAGTCTCGTTCATTTCACCGATTTGAATTTTCAGTTTTATGTTTATACAGTTAAAAACTCTCAAAAAATATCACATCTAACTTTTTCTGCTACATTTAGGCCTTGTTCGTTTCGTGGATTTGAGTTTTCAATTCGAGTTGAGATGTGACATTTTTTTAGAGCTTTTAACTATAACAGAAAAAGTTAGATGTGATATTTTCTGAGAGCTTTTAACTGTATAAACCTAAAACTGAAAACTCAAATCGGTGAAATGAACAAGGCCTTAAAAACTCTTAAAAAATATCACATCTCAACTCAAATTAAAAACTAAGGCCTCGTTCACTTCGTAGATTCGAGTTGAGATGTGACATTTCTCGAGAGCTTTTCACTATAATAAAAAAAATTAAATGTGAAATTTTTAAAAAAATTTACTGTAAAAACTTAAAACTAAAAATTTAAATCGGTAAAATAAATTAAGCCTTAAATTCACAAAGTGAACTAGGCCTTAAAAAGTTTCACCCTAATGGGAGCTAATCTTCAAGATCTACTACTGTATTTTAAAATGTCAAAACACAGCTGGTGGTTGGACCAGTCCGTGCAACGTGTACTGCCTGAGCACCAATTGCGCAAACCAGCCGCTGTGACATTGCCACACGGGGATGTAAGGTTGTCAAAAATACATATTTTAACGAATGTCTATTTAATTTGTTGATTTAAGTTTTTAATTTGAGTTGAGATGTGATGTTATATGATAATTTTTTTATTATAATAAAAAAATTAAATGTGATTATCTTTGAGAGCTTTTTACTATAATAAAACTTAAATTTTAAACTCGAATCCACGAATTGAACAAGACCTGATTGTTTCTACTAATTGTTGTCGTTTTCCATTGAAACATACAAAAAGAGTATTACCTATACAGGTATTACCTGTCCATGTACTATTTGCATTTTCAGAACTTGGCATCTTAATCAACTTCATTATTAATCATTATTAAGACTTATAATAACTCATAATATGATGAGTCATATTAAAAAAAAAGATAGAAAGAAAATAAATAAGAGTGATAATAATAATAATAATAATAAGAGAGAGAGAAACACTTGATCCATTGCTGCGTGGGGTAAGGTGATTGGATAGCCTAAATTTATGCATGGATTCGCTTGGCTCCTAGTTGGTAGTAGTAATAGATAAGCAGTAGGTGTCAGATATATAACGTGAAATTAATTAATAATCTATGTGACATGGCCCAAAAAAAGAAAATTTTTCTCCTTCTATGATTCTATATATTCGTGAATTTGTATATAGACACGTAATAGACATTAGATATAAGCTAGTGGTAGGTTCTCAATTTTTATTTTAATCTAATATACAGTAATCAATATGAATTAAATATTTAACAAAATAATGGTAGGTAATATAATTTTCTAAAAACTAACCTTATCATATTTGGTTATACGTAAGAATTTTTTGTTAAATTTCTAAAAATATTATTGTACAATGTTTAGTTGAATTGTGTACAGTAATACAATGTAATTTTTCTTATAAAATTAATTTTAAATTGTTTTAGAACATCACCATCAGCAAACAAAATACATGCCCAAATTGCAATTTACAAGAAAACCAAAACCATACTATCAATGAATCAAAAATTTCAAATTATACCCTCTGAAAAAGAGCAAACAATAAATTGAATTCCATTTCTTGAAATGATCAGAGGCATAAGGAAGTGAAAAGTAAAACAAAAAATGAAAGTGAAAATCTGACAAAGATCCCTTCCTCCTTCACTTCCCTGTTTCCCAAAATCATTCAGTTTTCCAGTTAAAACCCTAATAAAGATTCAAAATCAAAATCGAAGAAGAAAAAATAATGAAGCGTGAGTGCAGATTAATTGACAATAATCATCAAACCAGCCTATAACTCTTGATTTCAACAAGTCTCCATGATCACCGTCGGCACTAATTTCGACATCAAGTTTTTTTTTCCTTCGTCCGTCAAAATTTATTCGTTCTTGGTTTCGTTAATTGTTGCAATGCCTTAAAATGTGGTAATATGAAACCCATGGGTTTCACTTTCTTAAGTTTTAAAAAAGTCCAATAATTGTACTAAACATCGTAATCTAAAAAATTCTCATTACCACTCATGAGATTATCCCATGCTAAACGTCCCGTAATATCAACTCACATGATATGGTTTGTTGTCATTTTTTGGTTGATAAATATAACTCTTTAATTTTAAAGAAACATTTACGATAGGAAATATCTTTTTTAACTATTAGTAGAAACTGTAACTTAAATCTTTAGGATTGAGATTTTATTAATTCGATCCGTCACATTTAAAAAAATAACAATACAAAACTGCTAAAATTACATATCAGATTATTGAAAACTTAATCTAATAATTAAGACATTAATACCTATTAGTAGGTTGATAAAAACCTACAAATAAGAATAATGAAAACTACACAATGATATTATAGAATTGGAATGGAAATTATTCTTTTGATATAGATGTCTAAAATTTAACCGCCAACTTTGCAAACTCAACTCGAAGAAGAACATGGGGTGCCCCTGTCTAATTAAATGCGTCCTACTTGATTATCACGTTGTTCCATTGGTTGTCGTTTTCTAGTTTGTTAACGTTGTTAATCATTTGAATTAGCATAAATCGACAACATTCTACTTCAGCCAAAAAAGGAAAATACGACATTAGAATCTATGTTGTAAATTGCTGTTGTTTATATGGTTAAAGTTATATTGCTTTGAATCCAAGGACTTGTAAGATCGCCATTGGCCATGGTACATGGGCAGAAGAACCTCCCATGTGACCTTTTACTTTGAGGCATATATGAGTTTTTTTTTTGTTTTTTTTATTATTTATTATTTTTATTTTCTAGGAACAATTTGGTCAAGTTTCCTAAGGAAAACAGTTAATGCCTCATATTAATGCAGAGAGTTGTAGGTTAAATTCAGCGAAACATCGACCGATATATGGAAGACTATAAAAAATTTAGTGCAAATCGATCCCTCTTTATTTGTTGATGGAGAAATTACACACATCATAATAGCAAATGTTAAACACATATAGAATCTGCATGATTAAATTTATTGTTTTGTTAGGGTATGTGAGTTGTTTTCTATATATTAGTCCTAAGTTCAGAATCTCTTAGAGCATCTTTAATGTAATGTTATAATTAATGTGTCAATTGTAAATGTAGTATTTAAGTATAAAACATTTTTTCCAACACAATGCTATTTGTTGTATCAAATTTCTCATATGCTATACTTTATGGTAAATTTTCCACTAAGTATAACATATAGGAAATCTAGTATTTGATTGCTATTTGTTGAAATGTTTAATTTCTCATCTAATTGTTGCAACTTTTGTATTTTTTAATTATTTTAAACATAAAATTTTACTTTTACAGCTTTCAAAGCTTAATAATTATGAGAAAAAAATAAATTTAACATTTCAAATAGCATTATGCATTGAAGTAAAAATGTAAATAACATATCATATCACACTCTTTGATGGTAAATATAGAATTGATATTAACATTTGCATTAGAGATGGTCTAAATATAGATATATATATATATATATATATATGAGAATTTCTCTAGTGTTTCATCTTTCTTGAGAACACCGGTTTTTTGTTTATTAGTCATCGAATCTGTATTACCTTTTCACCTGATTTGACTTTTGACTAAATTTAATACAGATATGACGGCCGACGTTTCTAAAAATGAGAAAAACCAGAGAAAATGTATATATATATATATAGTTCACATATTATATTTTGATTTTATGATGTGCTATGAAATTGGTTTTAACTGGTGTTTATTATTATTATTTTTTCTAATATTTTCTTACACTCAATGCTATATTTTGATGTAGGTGTATTTTATAAATTTTGGAAAATCAATAGTCCTCGATAACACTAGTGTCAAATTTGGTATCGACACAAGCATTTCTATGCGATCTAGCGGGATTTGATTTGGCGAGTATTCCTTCCAAATGCCTCTTCGTTTCAACGTTCCAATAAGAAATTGTTGATAAGAAATGGAGAGTGACTTTTTTAATAGAAGAATGTCAATTCATGAAAAAACACCATACGGATTTAGATCCTTTTTTAAAACACTAAAGATTTCTTTTCATCTTTTTCTTTCTTGATAGTAACTTAAGAGGAACACAATTCTAAAAGAAATCATAAAACTAAAAAAGTGCGTTGAGAGAGTTGAGAGAGACGTATCCCCAAATTTTATACGAAAATTAGTATATAAAAGACTTTCTAAACTTGAGGTAATAAATAGTATAATTATCTTAATTAGTAAGTAAATGACATGTTTTTAAAATCCAAATTTGTTTTCCTATTTTATTCTTATTTTTAATTAACTTAAATTTCAAAAAGAATAATTATCTTTTTCTCTTCTCTCTCCAGAGAATCGCGAAACCATACCAATTAGTGTTTACAGAGATCTGCCTCCGTCGTCATCCTCATCGCCTTTTCCAATAGCAACGACTTCGAGGAGAGAGAGAGAAGAGGAAAAGAGAAGTTATGCGGGGTATTTCTGAGTTTTTAAAAGTTTAAAGGCTATGTCCATTTCGCATCTCAAGTCATAACTTGAGTTATGACTTGAGTTATGCACGTGAGAGAGAAAAATATTATAGTCAAATGGTTAAATTTAAATTTTTATAAGAGAAAATATCGTAATAATAAAACTTGAGTTGTGAAATAAATAATAATATAAAATATACTATTAAGTTCTACACCGTTATAAATTTTTATGAGAGAAATAGGCCAAGACTTGAGATGAATTAAAATTAATAGGCCAATAGTTTACATAAGTTAATAAATAGGCCAAATTACTGTTTTCGTCCATAACTTATCTGGTTATGAACCATAACTTGACAAGTTATTGTCCATAACTTGTCTGGCTATGAACCATAACTTGACAAGTTTGTCCATAACTTATCTGGTTATGAACCATAACTTGACAAGTTATGACATATTAATTTCTATAACTAAAAATTAGCCTATATACTTTCTTAAGCTTTTCATATTGACCTATTTTCTACTATTTCCCAATTTTTATTTCCCTTACAAATATGCTATTTTGCCTCATCCTCCTTTTATGGGCCATATTTCCAACATTTGGGCTGACAGCAGTTAGATCCATCCCAGTTAACCCAAGAGAAATTTTACGCGGCCCAGGATGCAGTCCGCATTCAGATAGAGAGAAAAAAAATAGAGAAATGCCCCCCTCTAGTGAGTGAGCTCTGAGTATACAGATTTACGTCTTTTTTTAAAAGAAAACATACTACAAAATTTCTGTTTTTTTTATTATTATTATTATTTTTACATATGGACTCAAAATCAAAGAAGTGAGTTAACAACGGCACATTTTCAAATTCTCTCCGCAATTATATAAATTCTTTAAAGAAAAGAAGACAAAAAATCCCAAAAGCGCAAGGAGACAAAAGTTGGAACAATCTCTAGTAGCTTAAGCCTGGGTCTCACCACATTGTAACATTACAGAATTATTATAGAGGCTTTATTAAAAAAAAAAAAAAAAAAAAAAAAGAGTTTATTTGATCATATTAAAAAAGTTTACATAATTTAATATATATTTAACGGCTGAAAATAAAAAACTATGAATGAGCTCGGAAAGACAAACAAAAGAATAAGGCAGATAAGAGTGAGGGAGAATTATGCCGATTTCAGAGTTCTTTCCTTCGGTCAATGTTCAAGATGGGCAACAAGGTGTGGAAAAAAAAACGGATTAATTGACATCACCAATCACCTTGTGCTTCCACTACTAGTAGAAAGCAACATTAAAGAGAGAGCAAATTTGACCACATATGGGAAAAAAAAAAAAAAAAAAAAAGAGCACAATTTTCTTTTTTCCTTAAATCCAAACAAGCATTATTATCTCCAGAGCATTTAAAAAAAAAAAAAAAAGAGAGCACAATTTTCTTTTTAGCATTATTATCTCCAGAGCATTTATCCCATTCGTCACCTTTCATAAAACACAATTCATGCACCTAATCTCAACATGGGTTTGGCTTTGAAAACATGCAACATTTTTTTTATTCTATATATATATATATATGTATGTATGTATAAAATCAGTGACCGCCATCCAGGATTATTTTCGAAATCTAATTAAACACTTTCAGAATCTAGTGGAACTATTGGCGCAACGAAAAGACGAATAATCCAAGTAAAAAAATCCATGTTCTCCTTAACAATTTCTTTGATCTTGCCATTTTATAAGATAAGTATGCAATTTAGGAACATGGATCAAGTTCTTAATGGGTTTTTTGGCCTGGGACTGATACAAATGGGGAACAACTAAAATTAATCAATAGACACATTATCAAACTCCTTTTCCCAGCAAAGAAAAAAGAAAGGAAAAAAAAATACTTTTTCACTTGCTCCAAATTCCGTGTAATAAAAAGTACTAGATAATACACTCAGCACAAAATATGTCTTGACAAGATCTCCCTAAAAATAAGGCCAATTTTTAACTTTAAATCTAATTAAAATTATATTAAATTAAAAAAAATTACGCAAAACAGACCTTTTTTTTATACAAATCAGTCAGCTAGCTGAAAACGGACTCTTTTCGATAGTTTTTTTTTCATATTTATTAGAGAAGTATTAAAAATAAAATAAAAACAAAACAAAAACAACCACAAAAGAATGAATATAAGTTCAAGTGTCAACTACAAATGAGCATAAGAAGGCAAAAAGTGAAAATGAAGCAAATCAAAGGCGTTCCATTTCATAACCAGATCAACCATTAGATCCACCAATGCCATTGAAAACAACATTAAAAGCATCAAAAATACATTGGGTGAAAATAGAGCATCAAATGCGTTTTCATTAAATACACAACTCAAGGATCAAGTTCTTGATGGGTTGTTTGGTTGCCTAGAATTAGAAGGAAAATAGATTCCTTCAAAAAGGGCAGTAACTAAAAAGAAATCTAATACCAACAACAAACAACAACAACATGGTCCCTCTACTTTAACATCAAAATCCCACACTTCATTACAGAATCTAAAGAGATATGATGCAACATTGCTCACAAGACAAAACAAGAAGTACAAAAGCAAAGAAAAAAGAAAATGCAATATAACAAAAATAAAGTAAAACACATGAAGATAAATAATTAGCAAGGTGTAGAACTTAATTTTTTTTGTTTTCCTTTTACATGAATGGTTCAGTAACAGGTACATGAAGAAACCCCAGATATCATAATTTCACAACAAGGATCTTCATAATATCTCTTCTCTTCTCTTCTAAATTAAAAAAAGAAAAAAGAAAAAAGAAAAAAGGAAAAGAAAAAAATAAAAGTAATTTTCTCTTCAAACAACATTCCATAAGATCATTTTTAATCATAATCTTATCTGATATTCCTCTCTCTTTCCTTCTTTTTTTTTTTCTTTTTTTTTCCGCATAATAAGATTAAAAAAAAAGATTGAATCATTGATCATCATAATAATCATGATCGTCGTCGTCAACAACATCATCAGAGACAGAGAGCCGTACAGTGCAGATCGTGGCCGTCCGATGCGAAGTCTGGCTCATCCAACGGTGGAAAATTCAGATCAAACGGTAAGGGTTTCCGACACGACGACGACGCGGCGAAATCCCCCTCCGCGTCGTCGATCACCGAGGACGACGAATCGCAGTCGCTGTGGCAGTCCTCGGGAACCACCGGCGGCGTCCTGGGGTACCGCCGCCGCGAAGAAACCGCCGGCGGCGCGATCGTTGCAGTCGTACGCCTCGGTCCGCTGAACGACTCCAAGGTCGAGCTCAGGCTGCTCGTCGTCGGCCTCTGCGGATGGACGATCTGATGATGCTGATGGTGATCCGGAAATCCGCCGCCGTTACCGTACATCCTGCCGTTATGGTGGTTTTCCGAGAACGGATCGTTGGCGGCCGCGTTGTTCTGGTAGCAAAACGGCGGCGTAAGGGCATAGGGCGTGGGGAAGTTGGTCTTCGCCTTCGGTCCACGGAGCGTCCTCGCCGCCGCGTCGTACGCACGCGCCGCGTCCTCGGCGGAGTCGAAGGTTCCGAGCCAGACTCTCGTCTTCTTCCAAGGATCTCTGATCTCGGCGGCGAATCTCCCCCACGGTCTCTTCCTCACGCCTCTGTATCTCACCTCCTTCCCCGATCCGCCTTTATTCTGCTCCGCCGCCTCCACCGCCGCCGCCGCCGGTCCTCTTCCCGTTGCTCCTCTGCCTCGCCTCATGACTCCAACAAAAAAAAAAACTGATAAATAGAAGGAAAAAAAGACCAAAAAGAGGTCTGTTTATTTACAGAGAAAAGAAAAAACTGAATCAGAGCCTGGTTTTCATGAGGAAAAAGGAAGGATAGAGAGAGAAAGAGAAGGTTTTTGGATTTGTGAGGATAAGAAGAAGATGAAGAAGAAGAAGAAGGGAGGAGAGAGAAAGAAGAAAGAGAAGAAGGGATGGGTGGGAAGAGAACTGGATGGCACCCAACACCACCTTCTCTACAACACAAAAACAAAAATATAAGTGATATTAATAATTATAATATTAAATTCTCAAATAAAATAATAATATTAATTGATTCATTTTGAATATTAATTTTATTTTTGTATTTAATTTGGGATTTTTTTTCTCTGGCTGTAAAATGTTAGCCTTCCTTTTCTTTTCTTTTCTTTTCTCCCTCGAAATCTCTTCCCCTCCCCTCCCCCTCTCTCTCTGTTCTCCTTTATCATTTCTTCACCCCTTCTTTTCTGTTCTTTTTTAATTTTTAATTTTAATTAATTTGTTCTTTGCAGAATTGAATGATGTGCGAAATGACACTGTGGTCCTTGACTTTTTTATATTCAACAATGTCCCTCAGTAAATGTCGTCTCTTCCTCCGATTCTGTGAGAGTATATTAACGAAAGTTTAATATTCAAATTTTTAATTTGAGTTATAATATAATTTTATATAAATTTTTTTATTATAATAAAAAAATTAAATGTAATTATTTTTAATAATTTTTAATTATAATAAAATTTAAATTGGTAAAATAAATAGAATTTTAAATTTTTTTATTTTTTTACCATATTTTAAAAGTTATAAATAGATAAAATAAAAATCACGTTAAATTAAAAAAATATAAAATAAATAATTTTTTATATATAACGATTGAAAACTAAAAAATTATGAACGGTTTATTTTTTATAATCTCATCTAACAAAACTCTTTTTTATTTTTTATTTTTGGCTTGCTTTTTAGGTGAGGAGGTTAGATCTCTTTCACTCCTTTGTGTGTGCGTGTTTTTGGCTTTTGGTCATCAGGTGAAAGGTACAATTCCGGGGCCTAAATCCTAATTATGTCCAGCCGGCAATGATTTGGTTACATTTTGTATCATTATTTTTAAATTAAATTTGTTATTCAGTGTGAGTTTTTTTTTTCTCCCCTTAAAATTCATTTTACATGGAACTTCTATCGTAAGGTGTCTTGTTCAATATTATGAATGTTGTATCAAATTATAGGGGAAAAAATGCTATTTTAATGTTTTAGCATAGACAATATATTGTCACAAGACAGAAGTAATAATGTAGCATTTTGTGCATTTAACAAATTTGGAATAATAACTTAACAATACGAATATTGTTATGAAATTGGATGTGAGGATTATTGTTATATAGTACTGTGAGACCTCGTCATAATTTTTATGGAGTAAATTAGTATTTAGTTTAACAACATTAATTGTAACTAAATTTAGCTGGAAAAGTTAATGTGGGGCACATATTTTTGTCGCAACGATTATGTATCCTGATAAATTTAGAATAAACTACTTAGCATTCAATTTAACAGTTTCGAAAGTGAGAAATGCTAACGTCACTTTTTTTGTCACTCTCTTTGTCACATTTTGTATTTATTATTTGACACGTAATTCCACTTACATGATATAGAGAAATGCTAGCATTACTCTTTATGTCACTCTCTTTGTTACTTTCTGCATCTATTGTTTGACATGTGGACTCCACTAACATGATATATTATTATTTAAACAAAAAATGAGAAAATAAAATTGACGTGTCCATAGAACTATAAGTTTTAGCCAAGCTAAACGGGCCGACCCGGCTTGCTTAAGTGTACGGGACTTGCCAAACTGAGCCTAGGTTTCAAGCCTAAAATCTTATTCGGGCCGGTCCGTACACATCATTTTTAAATTTTTTTTAAAAATACCTTGTAAATTTTAGGTTGTCCCGACCCGGCCCTAAGCCCGTCAGGCTTTAGAGTTAGACGGGGCTAACCCTCCTCTTTTTATGGCCGCTCAGCCTGGCCCAGTGAAAATAATGGGTACACCCGATCCAGCCCGAAATTCCCATTCAGGCCATCGGGCCTGGGCCAGATGGCCCAAACTTTCACCTCTACGTGTCAAATAGTGAATGCAGAAAGTGACAATGAGAGTGACAGAAAGAGTGACACTAGCAATTCTCACTTGATATAGTATTATTTAAACAGAAAGAGTAGTTATGTTTGCACCCGAAAAATTCATTGATGCTCCCACAAATTAATGCTCAACAATTAAAGATTTGAAAAGTCTATCCATATATAGATATAATTTTCATAATACCTAATTTAACTCTTTCATACCCCTACCTAATTTTAATCTTAATTTGATTTATAAAATAATATACTATCGTTCAATTATTAACATTATAATTTCTTTTCTAAAATTAATGCAATTCTATTTATCTTTATTTTTCTTACCTCCTCTTCCTTCTTCTTTAAACAAGGAAGCACAAGAACAACTTTCCATGCCTCATCCTAATAAAGATGCTCTTTTGATTGCTTTGACTAATTATATTAGTAATAGACAAACTAATGAAGACTTGTTTTTCGTTTCTTATTTTTAGATTGATTGTGGTTTAGTATAAAACAAAAGATGAGGTATTTTTTTATTCCTTTATATAATACTTTCTAATTATAGTTAATTTAGATGTATGCACTTTTATTTTTTTGAACAAATATTATGTCCATTTACAATTAATGTAGGGGTACTTTAATGCAAGGTAAAATTGTAAGAAAAATACATTATGAATCGGTGGGGGTTGATGGGTGCAATATAATTACTCAAACAAAAAATGATATAGTAGAGTTTTTATGTCAGACAATGAATATAAAGAGTAATAAAAAAATGACATAAAAAATGACGTTAATATTTTTCTTTAAAAATATCATCAAGCTAATCTAAACTATTTTGAGTCGTAGATAAATAGAAGTGGGACCCACTTAAACTCACGTTACTTGTAAAAGGATTATAGTCCAACAATTAATTTTTTTATCTTATAGTCCAACAAGTTTGGAGTAACTTAATTGTCATTTAGTTTAATAAAATATAATATAAAATATTAAGGAGAAGAACAAAAATAATTATTACCTTGTATATACGCCAGCGAGTTTGGAGTGAATTAGTTCTTACCATTGGTTTGGTTCAACAGATTTGAACCTTTTTAATTAGAATTATAGAATTTAAATTGTGGTGATTTTAATTGTTATTTAAATTCGTGTTTTGATATGTAAATAAATTATAATTTGAATTAAAAATAAAACCTAAACTGTGTTTGGATAAAGCGTTGAAACTGTTATTAGAATTTTATAACAAATATTATAAAACTCATTATAAATGACATTACAAAATATGCAATATGAGTGGAGATTTATTCATCTCTTCATTATGAACACATTAAAAAAAATCATCTCAATCGGAATTAAAACGAATAAGTTATAACATTTTTAAGATTCAAATTGAAGAGAGAGAGAAAGTAGAATCTATAACTATTGAACTATTGACAACAATCCGGATTGTTAGAATTTAAGGGACGGTGATTCTAAAAATTAAGGGTTTAAACCATTAATAGTTTGATTTGTCTTTCAATTTTATTCTCCCAAATATCAATTTAAATTCTGAACAAAGGTTTAAATCATATCCAACAGTTTGAGTTTTTAAATAAACAATGCATTAATTGTTCCATAGTATATTCAATCAAATTACTCCACCTAATTTGGAGTAATATTGAGGTTATTTTTGTTACGAGGGAAAGAAAACAAGAAAAAAATAACTATAAATAACAAAGGTGAGGAAAACGGGGAGTAAAGGAGAGACCTTTCTGACATTCTGTTTGGTATGCATTTCCGATTCTAATCCCTGCATATTGAGAGAGATTAAACTTGAAATTATTTTGAAGAATTTAAAAATTTCTCACCCAATTCATGCTATCCTCTTTTCTCTCCTAGCAAACAAATATTGGGCCTGTTTGTTTCCCGTCTCATTTCTATTTTTCACAATTTTCGAGAAAAAAAAACTGAAAATGCATACAGAAAACGTGTTTGGCCTAAAATTTTCTAAAATTAAAACTAAAAACACCGTTTTCATTTTCTCTTTTTTTCTCGTGTTTCTGAAAATAAATTTTTTCCGTCTTCATGTTTTCATTTCCACTTTGAGACTGCGCCCCCCCTGCCGTCTGCGACTGCGCCCCCACCGTCTGCAACTGCCCCCCCACTCTTCTTCCTCTTCCTCTGCAGTTTTCATATATAACATGTTTATAATATATTAAATATTAAATATATTTAACATTATTATTTATTTTATTATATTATTATTTAATATTATTATTTATTCATTTTTATACAAAAAATAAAAACGTTTTGGAACCAATTCCAAACGCACCCATTATAGACCCTCACATTCTTTCTCTAATCCCCTTACCATCTCTCCCTCCTCCCACTTTTCTCTTTTAAGAATAAGCACTACGTTTAATAGTATTTAGCTGTTAGAATATATGATTGAAATCTTAAAGAGAAGTACAAAAATTATCATGTTCAAGTATGCACCCAAAACAAGTTTGTAATAGAAAAAGTTGACTTATATATATATATACACTAGTTTAGTTACGTACGTATGGAATTGTAATTAACATTTTAATAATGTAGAATACAAAATATATAAAAAATAACAAAATAAACAAATAAACATGAGTAAGTAGATTATTTTGATGAGAAAAAGGGAACGAAAAAGGAAAAATTAGGAGAATATAAATATAAGTGACTATAATAAACATATGGTGTCGAAAAGAAAAGAAAAAAAAAACGCAAGCAGAAAAAAAGGTAAAACCATGTTCATAAGAGATATTTGCTAAAAAATGGAGCTAGAAAATAAGGAACGAAGAAAGTTAAAATAGAAAAAAAGAAGATAATTAAAGAATGGAGTTATAAAGAAATTAAAAAGATTATAAAAAATGAGAGGGCAAAGTGAAAGTAAGAAAAAAATTGAGGGGCAAAGCACCAAATGGTGAGTATTGAACGAGGATGGATACTAGTATATTTTATCAGTTATTTGCACGCATTAAATTGTAATTGATGTTTTTATAACATAGATAATGTGAAAAAAAAAACTCAAAAAAAAAGTTATTTGCACAAATAGTTTTTGATAATAAATTTACTATTTTTAGATCAAATGTAGCACGAGTAAATTATAACGAG